TTTACACAAGATGACATGAAATGTATTCTAAGCTGCCAAATTGCCTTAGCATTTCAGGGGCTGGGCTAGGTGACCCATGGGGTCCCTTCCAACTCTGCAGATCTATAATTCCATGAAATAACTAATGAAGGAGCTTGTCCTTCATTATTAAAGCAAAGTATGGGCTACAGTCCAGCATAACAGGCTGCTTAATGTCTCATAGAGTTTTAAACTGGATTTAGACTACAGTCCTAAACTCAATAATTAAGGAGTAAGCTCTGTTGATTAACTGTTGAGTAAACCCACTTAGGACAGAAATGTTGAAGGGTATGGAGTTATCCGACCCCCGAAGCCAAGGAGATAAGTAACTATGCAACCTTTAGAAGATATCTGAAGGCAGCTCTGTATAGTGATCCATCCAGGCACTGTTGATCTGCTTAGCTTCAGCAAAATGTGCTTATCATGTGCCTTTATTTTAGATGGGGGTCGGAAATTATGAATGCCCTGCATGAATGAATAAATGAACAAACAGTTCTTGGGCTTTCTTTACCACTACCTTCCTTAATTTTTAGTGCAACCTTCACAATGACAATTCCATGTCCTCCTCCCCTCCCCATCTAGCTGCCTGCTGCCAGTCAAGGGCATAGTGTGTGGGGGGGTGCTGTTGGGGCAATGGTCCTGGGCACATTTTTCGGGGGGGGGGGCTGCTCACGCCACTCTGCCAGCCCCACACCACTTTGCAAGTCTGGGAACTGCTCTGAATGATCACCTGGCAGCATGAGAACGATACAACAGCCATGTGCCCTTCAATCCCAGCCTTGCCCTCTGAAGGGCGCATGACTGATGTGTCCTTCTCATGCCCCCTTGCCAGACCTGAGTCGCTTTGTGAGGCTGGGATCTCAAAGTGACTTGGGGCTGGGGTCGCTCCGACAGCATCAGGAGTGAGGGCTGAGCTGGCACTGCGGGCTCTGTTCACCCTCCATGCCCGGCCTCCCCGGTGCCAGCAAACCATGCTATGCCACTGCCTCTAGTGCTTACTGTAGTTAACTCTTCTAAGCCCAACCTGATGGCAGAAGTACAGTACCTTGTTCACAAATGGCAACATAAGCCTTCGCAAAGGATCTAGCAGCCCATTGTTCAGCTAAGTAAAAAGCCTGAATAGGCAACGTTTAAGAGGCTTTAAAAAAACACTTCCTAAGAAAGAATCTTAGTTAGCCTGCTCTTGTTGTAATGCCTGTGGCCGCCTTTCAAAGTGTTCCATAAAAGCTGGCTGTGAAGGTAAACGGATGCTGTGTTTCCTTTGATTTTCAGATAAACTTTAACTGCCTGAGTACATGAAGTCACCGCAGGCAAGATAAGGTTATCAGTGCTCTTTCAGAATAGTTGAGTGTATAGAAAGCAGGCACAACATGGCCTGCTAAAGAGTTTGAATAATCTTCAGAAAGAGGGAGAGAGAGAGAAAGAGAGAGTCCTATAGTTAGGGACATGGTAAAAAATAAATAAATAGAGGAAAGTTTTTTAGCAGCAGGTCAGCATCATTCACATGCCATCTAATCTCCCATTTCATTATACTACCAGTATTGGTATTTTATATAGCGCCATCAATGCACATGGTCTTTTACAGAGGAAAGGGGACAGGTTCCTGCCCCACAGATATTGCAATATACAATGAGACACAGGGAAGACAATAGAGTAAAGAGACTTCCTGGGACTGTGGCTGAGGGCATAGAGGATATGATAGATCACTTGGCAGAGACGGAGAGCCATAGGCAGAGGCTATGGCTGTGGAAAATTCTACTGCTTTATGAATGACTGTGCTCTAAGGGTTGTGGACCCAGAAACAGGGTGGGTCAGATATGTGTGTCTCAGGGGGTGATGGGGGAAGTCTTGGATCTCCTTTATTTCCCTGGCACACACACAAACGCAGCCCCAAAGAGTGAAAAAGTATGTAGGTCCCGTTGGTGTCAACAGAAGGGGAAATGGAAGGGTTTTTTTCTTAAAGATTGAACTGGGGATGGGAAGCGCCATTCCTCGCCAGTTTAGGATGGCTCTGGCCAGAATACTGAGACTCTTGATTGTATCAAATGTCCCACTTGTGCTTGCACAACTCCCCTGCTCATCTCCTCTCCCCTGCAGCCCCCAAAACCTGCCCTAAATGGTTGAGGGACCTTCTGGAACAGATTTGAGGAGAGGAGGGGGAAATCCATTGCATGAGTGGAACACCTGTGGTGTGGCTTTGGGTGCATCCTTCTGCTTTGCTCACAGTCCTCCAGAATTGTGAAGACCAGTTATGGGCACAGCATGCATTTCTTCTAAGCCACTCAACCCCACTGTGAACTTATTGAAAGAAGCAGAGCATGCAGGTTCTTGGTTTCTTTTTATTGGGGGAATAAGAAAACACAATCTCCCCCTTAATTAATAAGTAAAACTGCTCACTTTTAATTACTACAGGCAGGATTTGTATATGACAACTTAAGAAAGGGGTGCAGGTAGCGCTGTGGTCAAAACCACTGAGCCTCTTGGGCTGGCCGATCAGAAGATTGGTGGTTCGAATCCGCACAACAAGATGAGCTCCTGTTGCTCTGTCCCAGCTCCTGCCTACCTAGCAGTTCGAAAGCACACCAATGCAAGTAGATAAATAGATACCGCTGTGGCAGAAAGGTAAATGGCGTTTCTCCGTGCTCTGGCTTCCATCATAGTGTCACGTTGCACCAAAAGTGGTTTAGTCCTGCTGGCCACATGACCCGGAAGGCTGTCTGTGGACAAACGCTGGCTCCCTCAGCCTGAAAGCGAGATGAGCACTGCAACCCCCTAGTGGCCTTTGACTGGACTTAACCGTCCAGGGATCCTTTACCTTTACCTCACTTAAGAAATGAAACAAAACTTATGCAGGGCTCAGCTGCCAGCCTATGATTAAATAAGATGCTCTGTGGACTGTAGTCTTGATGGGGTGGTATTTGTTTTAACTGCATATAAAACTTAGAGTGTGGGATCAAAGCACATTTCCTTGATCACTATTATTGTATAATTAAAGACACTCCATGCCTTTCAAAGAGGATCTGCTTCATCTGTCTGCTGAGTGGGTGGTATGATGGAATTCATGGGAAAGCGTCTGGAGGGCAGTGCCATAGACTAAACCAGACTTCACCAATCTTGTGTCCTTTAGCTGTTTGGAGCTACAGCTGCCATCAGCTTCAGTAGAGCTATTCTTAGGTTCTCTGCTGATCTGCACAGAACTGTGTGTTATAAAGAGGAGCATGGGTCAACCGTTAAGTGACAGTCTTCTGTTGAATTCCTCATTCCCCTCTTAGGATTGCCATAATTTCAAGAGCAACAAAAGGGGACACTTTTGCTGACTTCTACTTTTGATTGCTATGAGAACTCTACCCATTGAAAAGAGGATGTGTCCTGGAAAAAGAGGACATATGGCAACCCTACGTACAACTTAATTTATGGTGTGTACCATTGTGAATTTCCCTATGTGCTCATACCCTCCAACACTTCTCCAATGAAAATAAGGATGTCCTATATAATAACAACAACAGAAACAACAACATTGTTTATATCCCACCCAGCCACTCTGGGTAGCTTCCAACACATATAAAAACCTAATAAAACATGAAACATGAAAAAACTGCCCTATTCAAGACTGCTGTCAGGTGTCTTCTAAAGGTTGTATAGTTACTCATCTCCTTGGTTAGGGGGTCGCTTAACTGCCTACCCTCCAACATTTCTCTGATGAAAATAGGGACGTCCCAAGCAAAAGCAGGACATTCTATGATCAAATCAGAAAGTGGGATGGCTTCTGTAAATCCGGGGCTGTCCCTGGAAAATAGGGACACTTGGAGGGTCTGTAGAGCTTCATGGGTGAACACTGATATGGGTGGAAAAGCTTTCCCCAGAACTATCTGATAAATGCATGAGATCCAGATTTGGGAAAAGCTTCCATATCTCTCAGTGAAACTGGTGACAGAAGTGTACAATGAGGAAATCTGAGTTGATGATTATGATTATGACTTTTGATCTCAGGTCCATAATCAGGTCTGGCTCTATTCATAGGCAGCATGAGATGACTTACCTCAAGCAGAAAATATCAGGGTAACATTAAATGGCATCCAAATGCCTGGGGGGTTTTGTTGTTGTTGTTGTTGTTAATTATATTATACCCTGTGATTTGGATTTTTCTACCTCAGGCACCAACATCGATGCAATAGAGCATTACCACCACCACAAAAAAGCCACCCCCTCAATCTGTTCTTGGGTTTCCCCCAACCCTCTGGAGCAGATTTGGTGGCAGGAGAGGGTTCAAGTCCCAAACTGCAAGCAGCAATCATTGTACTTTGGGGACATTTTGGTTGAAAATTGCCCAAAATATCTCAGGCCTTCCCAGCTTTGTGTAACATGCACAAGACCAGTGTTTTTTTCTGGGGGTACTCAAGTACCCGCACCTTTTTTTCAAGTGTTAAAAGTGTGTAACAACTTCATGGTGAGTACGGCACCTTTTCCCCCCTTTACACAAGATACCTGAATTGCTGCAGCCTGGTCTGAGCATGTGGGGTGTAGATGGGGAGCTGTAGCAGCCTGGATAAAGCTCTTCAGCTGCCTGTCTCCCATCAACATAGCTCATTTGTTGTCTGAAATGAAATATGACTGTGTACGATGTCAAGGCATGATGTTCACTTGTAGCAACAGATGCAATGCATTGTACCTTCCTATTCATTACTGTCATTCTCTCTCTCTCTCTCTCTCTCTCTCTCTCTCTCTCTTTCCCCTACCCCCTAGATTTTTGGGTAAAAACGTGTCCGTTGTTCTAAATGTTGGGATTGATCCATGAATTTATTTACCTGAGGATTCTTTGAAAAGGTTCCTTGTCCAGATTCCATTATGCAGGAAATATTCTTGATGAAGCACATAGAGGACACTGTAGCCTGATGCCCATGATCAGGTGGTGAAGCTTCCCAGGAAGGACTAAGAAAACAACCCGCTTTCCCTAAAGAGTTTTCTCCTTTGCTAACCACACTATGAAGGCTTTGGGGAACAGCTGGCTCCTTTTGCTCTTTGCACTTAATCTGAGAAGCATCCACTCCTCCTTTGTCAACGTCAACCGTGGGGTGAAAGTGATGAAGGGCCAGTCCATCTTCCTGTTGCAAGAGGACCTGCAGTTTTCCATTCCTCGAGAGAAGGACGCTTGCAAAGTGGAAGTTGTGATGAACGAGCCGATGACGCAGAGGGTTGGGAAACTAACCCCACAGGTATGTGAAATATCATGGCATGGCAATTTGGGGAGCTGGGAAGAGAAGGAAAAGGGATGACTTATTGGGAGTAACTGGACTTTGGAATGGCGGAATGGCCATTCTCAAACATAGCATTGGCTTCCATTGTAGTGTAGAGTAGTTTGGACTTGATATTCCGCTTTATCACTACCCTAAGTAGTCTCAAAGCGGCTAACAATCTCCTTTCCCTTCCTCGGCCACAACAAACACTCTGTGAGGTGAGTGAGGCTGAGAGACTTCAGAGAAGCGTGACTAGCCCAAGGTCACCCAGCAGCTGCATCTGAAGGAGCAGGGACTCAAACCCAGTTCACCAGATTACGAGTCCACTGCTCTTAACCACTACACCACACTGGCTCTCAGTGGCTTTTCATTGTGAGTGAAGCTTGTTTGTTAGTTAAAAGCTTTTGATACATCTTTTCCCAAACTGAAGCAACTGCATACAGCCCCACCTATATATCGATGGGCAAAGCAGACTTACCATATCTCTAATTTTTCTCCACTGCTGCTGAATGAAACAGCACTTTGCCCTCAAATGCTTCTAATTTGTGCTTGCTTTGGTTTTTTAAAAACTATTATTAAAAGCCACCAGGAGGTAAGTCAGCTGTTCATGTACATTTTAGATAAGACCCCCAGGGCAAAGCCCAGCACTGTACAGCTCTTAACCACAAGCAAGGGTTCCTTTTAATTGCTCCCCATGTAGTAATGGCGTGACTAAAATGTGAATGCACAGCATACCATGGGACTTGTTCAGTTTCCAAGAATTACCATCAACAGATGGTAAACATACAAAGGGGTTTTTTATGCCTTCTTTCCACATCATACATATTTCCCATATCACCTTTCTTCTACAGTGGTGCCTCGCAAGATGAAATTAATTTGTTCTGCGAGTTTTTTCGTCTTGCGATTTTTTCGTCTTGCAAAGCACGGTTTTAACGGGTATTAACGGTTTTAAGAAAAAGGAAACAAACTTGCAAGACATTTTCGTCTTGCGAAGCAAGCCCATAGGGAAATACGTCTTGCGAAGCAACTCAAAAAACGAAAAACTCTTTCGTCTTGCGAGTTTTTCGTCTTGTGAGGTACCACTGTACTTTTGTCCCATCTGGGTTTACTTGTGGGAACCTGTGTGGAGAAAGCAACGTTTTCTCGATCTGGTTACTAATACAAAATAGAATGGGATGCTTTGAGAGCAGCGTGGCTGGCACTGAGAGCAGTGATCATGTGTGTTTTCTTCCGCCACCCTGGTATTGGAAACAAAAACGGGTCAGGCGCACAAAATTACAGTATACTCGGCGGCTCCTGCTGCTGGGTGGGGAAATGTTTGATTTGAGGACTATGTGCACACCAAACAGTTAAAGTAAACAGCTCCCCCCCCCCCCAAGAATCCTAAGAACTGTAGTTCAAACACAAAGAGAGCCCGAGGTTCAGGACCTTCAACAAACTACAGTTCCCAGGATTCTTTGGGGAAAGGCGTGTAGTTTAAACATATGGTGTGTATGCAACCTATGCAGTCATGCAAATCCCATATGCCTAGTTTGGCTTTGGAATATCAGTGGCTAGGGGGAGTCTGCTGCCTAATTGCCTTGTTCATGAGCTTCCTGAGGGCTACTGTGGGAACCTAATTCCAGAGCTAGATGGACCTTTGTTCTGACTTCTCTGGGCTCTTTTTATATTCTTCTGGCTATATCAATATGAAGTTTCACTCTTATGTAGTAAGTATCCCATAAAAATGTGGCCAGGTGCACAGCCTGGGAGTCATTTTGGACTCACAGCTGTCCATGGAGGCACAGGTTAATTCTGTGTCCAGGGCAGCTGTCTACCAGCTGCACCTGGTACGCAGGCTAAGACCCTACCTGCCCCGCAGACTGTCTTGCCAGAGTGGTGCACACTCTAGTTATCTCCCGCTTGGACTACTGCAATGTGCTCTACGTGGGACTACCTTTGAAGGTGACCTGGAAACTACAACTAATCCAGAATGCAGCAGCTAGGCTAGTGACTGGGGGTGCCCACCGAGACCACATAGCACCAGTCTTGAAAGACTTACATTGGCTCCCAGTACGTTTCCTAGCACAATTCAAAGTGTTGGTGTTGACCTTTAAAGCCCTAAACGGCCTTGGCCCAGTATACCTGAAGGAGCGTCTCCACCCCCGTCGTTCTGCCCAGATGCTGAGGTCCAGCGCCAAGGGCCTTCTGGCGGTTCCCTCATTGCGAAAAGTGAGGTTACAGGGAACCAGGCAGAGGGCCTTCTCGGTAGTGGCGCCCGCCCTGTGGAGCGCCCTCCCATCAGATGTCAAAGTGATAAACAACTACCTGACATTCAGAAGACATCTTAAGGCAGCCCTGTTCAGGGAAGTTTTTAATGTGTGACTTTTTAGTGTATTTTTGGTCTCTGTGGAAGCCGCCCAGAGTGGCTGGGGAAACCCAGCCAGATGGGCGGGGTACAAATAAATTATTATTATTATTATTATTATTATTATTATTATTATTATTTATCAACGAGAACATCGTTCTGGTCACTTTGCTTCAATGAATACTGCTCGTGCACCAGCCAGTTGCACCCTTTTTCAGAGATGCACCAAGCTCACCCCATATGTGGACTAATACATGTTCACCATCTGCCTCATCAAATGATGGGATGAATGTATTTTAGAGGAAGCCAAATATCTCTTACTTGTTGCTCTCTACACAAAGGAAGTCCTTCTAGTTACCTAGCAGAGGTGCAGCCCCCTACAACAGCTTTGGTGGCCAAATTTGATTTGGCATCGGCCAGCTCTCTAGGAGTGCATAGGCATGCCATATTTCAAAAAGTAAAATTCCAGCCCCGCCCATTCCATTTGGCTGCGCTCATTATTATGTTGCAGGAGGGGGACCCTCAAAGGCACCGGCTGCCTTCGGATAGGGAGATGACCGGCAGCAACAGAAACATCTCAGCTTAAAATTCAATAATTGCCCCTAAATGCCATTTTAGGCATCCAATTTCCATACATGTCCAGAATTTTCCAGACGTATGGCAAGCCTAGGAGTGTATGCCAGTGGTGGGTGCGGCCCAAAGTGGGCATGGCTACCCACATACATTTAAAAGAAATTAATTTCTGCAAACTAGCCCTAAGAACCAAACAGCAATCTAGGTGGAAACTTTGTCCCATTGTGGAGAAGAGGAAGCTGGTCTAAGTAGACCTCTTTTTTCTTTTTTCTTTTTTGCTCCAGTAGGACTTGTATTCTTCATTTATTAAGATGAAGCATTGTGTGGGGATGTTTTACTGTGAATAAAGCTGCCATGATTAAAAAATGAATATGACACTGGAAATTAGCAAGGGATTTTGGAACAATGACATGCAGTATATCTGTAACCTCCTCTATACTTCTAGTTTAGACATAGGGTTGTGGGGTTTGTTTGTTTTTTGCATATCCCTATGCCTAATAGCGGACGCGGGTGGCACTGTGGTCTAAACCACAGAGCCTCTTGGGCTTGCCAATCAGAAGGTCAGCGGTTCAAATCCCTGCAACGGGATGAGCTCCCGTTGCTTGGTCCCTGCTCCTGCCAACCTAGCAGTTCGAAAGCACATCAAGTGCAAGTAGATAAATAGGTACCGCTCTGGCGGGAAGGTGAACGGTGTTTCCGTGCGCTGCTCTGGTTTGCCAGAAGCAGCTTAGTCATGCTGGCTACATGACCTGGAAGCCACATGACCTGGAAGCTATAAACGCTGGCTTCTTTGGCCAGTAAAGCGAGATGAGTGCTGCAACCCCAGAGTCTTAACTGTCAGGGGTCCCTTTACCTTTACCTATGCCTAATAGCAATATGCAGTTATCATCAGGTAATAATGCTGATTGCCATGCCTTCGGTTCATTTTGAGCTGATGCTAATAGCATAGAAGCAGAACATGCTCTGGTCAGTTAGCAACTCTTAACTGCCAGCCCCCCACCCCCCACCCAATAGCAGAACTTGCCCTTGTTTTGCTAAAGAGATTGTGCTTTTAACCAGCAAACACTGCATTATGCAAGAACCTGTCCTATTATTTCCTTTGCTGTCGTTAAAGTGAGTAATGTGCTAGGAATGTGTGACAATTTAATTACAAATTGTAATTGAAAAGTAGTTGAAGTGGAAATAAAAGCAAAGGCAGACAGTAATTAGGAAAAGATTTAGCTCTCCTTTGTTTTACTTGTTAAATTTATAGACAATTATGGCTGCCTGTTCATATGAAAGAAAAACATATTAGGAAGCATAAAACAGCTGTTTCCTTTTAACAAAGCAGATTGTGTCTATTTTATAATCATTGTCTGTCTACGGCAAGAGTCATGTTGAGGAAAAAAGCTTTCATTATTTATCTCCCTCGTTATCAATTAAGTGGAGGAACTAATGATGTCTTCTGGAAAAACACAATTTATGACTATTATGGCCATAGTTCTCTGATGGATAGCATTGCCTGTACCATGTTGCAGCTCACATCTTCCATTAGAAGGAAGCTGAATTCTCAGGGCTAAGAGCATTTGGAGACGTGAGCCTTAAATTGCTTCTCTGACTTCCTAGCACTCTTTCAGTGAGCATCTGATGTCATTTCCACATGCGGGGCTTAAATTGGCTTTGTTTTAAATCAACTCTTCGAAGAAATGTAAACCTGCATTGACTAAGAGGTGCATCTGGTTTCTCTCCTGCGTTGGCTGCATTTGTGAGACGAAATTGGCGAGACGGGCTCAGATGTGTTTCCTTGTGTCCTGTGTGGGGTTGATGGGAATGCACTGCCTAATGTCAATGCAGGCGAGGCTGCCTTTACCATTAGGCAAGGTGATGCTGGCCCCACCAGGTGACAGATATAGGGGGATAATTTAATGGTGACAAATTGTTTAGCTTATTATGTCTTTGCCATCCTGTGTGTGTGTGTGTGTGTGTGTGTGGTGGGGTATTATTATTATTTAACTCAGTTACAAAAAATGCCCTGGACCATTTTTGGATAGGGGAAAAATATAGTGAAAGCAAGGCAAGTGTAATATGAATGAGTATTCTGGCCAAAGCAGACTGCCTGTAGTCCAAATCAATTGCAGTGAGTCGGAACTTGCATGAAAATGCTCTGAGAGCACGACAGCAGCAGCAATGTGTGGTTGGATATCCGATATACAATTTGGGGCTCCATAGTCCCAGTTGGCTTGAGCCTCCAGACTAAGTTGGTTGAATTTTAGGTCTTGCCAACTTCAACATAAATCCCATTGAGTTAAATGGGAACTAAATGCAAATAACTGGATCCATGTCACTGTTTATTATGATGTTATTGTTGTTTAGTCGTTTAGTCGTGTCCGACACTTCGTGACCCCATGGACCAGAGCACACCAGGCACTCCTGTCTTCTACTGCCTCCTGCAGTTTGGTCAAACTCATGTTAGTAGCTTCGAGAACACTGTCCAACCATCTCGTCCTCTGTCGTACCCTTCTCCCTGTGCCCTCCATCTTTCCCAACATCGGGGTCTTTTCTAGGGAGTCTTCTCTTCTCATGTATTGGAGTACTGGAGCCTCAGCTTCAGGATCTGTCCTTCCTTATTATACTCTGTTTATACGTATTATATGTCTGTGTATTAGGAAGACTCGGAAGTCTGTCTTAAGAATGCTGCAGTGTACAGGATCATGATATGATCACAAAGCACTGAAGGCCGCTTTACATAAAATATAAGGGAGACAAGCATATCTTCTGAAGATATGTTTGTTTGATTGCTGCATTTATATCCCACCTTTTTCTCCAGGGGCACAAGGTGGTATGCTTGGTTCTCCCCCTCCTCATTTAATTCTCACAACAATCCTGTGACTTAAGTTAGGCTGAGAGTCAGTGACCGGCCCCAGTTTACTCAGTAAGCAAGTAGGGATTTGAACCCTGGTCTCCCAGGTCCTAGTCTGACTCTTTAACCACTATACCAAATTCTCAAGTGGTTGTATATAAGTGTAAATAAAATCAGATATGCTAAAGACACCACAGTCTCTATTGTCCTTCATTCCAAGGAAACTGAGCCCTGGGTAAAGCTCTTGGAACCCCAGGAGTCTCTGATTGCTCAAAGATTGTGGCGACTTATAACTGTATTAATTCCCCACAGTCCCAGAAACATTGTTAAGCTATCTACCCATTATATATATATATATATATATATATATATATATATATACCACAGGGTAATTATGTAAATCACTTTTGCATTGCAAAATGTTTTTTCGAGACAAACCAAAATGAGCCAAAGGGAAAACATGTGAAATATGCTGCCCCCTCTTTAAACAAAGCCTATTTTTTCAACAGGTGTTCGATTGCCATTTTCTTCTCAATGAAGTCAAGTACACTCACAACGGATGCCCAATTCTCAATGAAGACTTAGTCATGCTGAGGTTATACAGGTAAGCAGCACTGGGGTGATGTCTCAGGGGGTGTTTCTTAGGAAAGAACAAGCATGTTTCTACCATTCACCTAATATTAAAAGGTAATGCTAAATGAATTATCTCTTCTGAGTTTTCTTTTATATCGCATCACAAAGAAAATAAAAAATCCATGATATAAGGATCCCTCTGATACCTTATATCATGTATGGTGGGGATGTGATAAAATTAAGAAATTTGGGGAAAATATACATGAGGAACTGAAAAAAATGTTTAAAACAACAATTGGTAAGAAACCGGAAACATTCCTTTTAGGAATTATAACAAACGACATCCCAAAAGACATGAAGAGAATCTTTTTATATGCAACAGCTGCTACAAGGTTATTGATTGAAAAAAAAAAAAAAAAGGAAATCAGAAGAAGTACCAACATGGAAAGATTGGCAAAATATTTTTTTTGAAATGATTGAATTAGCAAAAATGACAGCAACAATTAGAATGCAATCTAATCAAAATCTCAAACAGGAATGGAAATGTGTAGAAGAATACATAACCAAAAGATGCTCCAACAAGAATTTATTGATATGTATATACTGATTAGGCCTTCCTACTCAAAAACAAAAAGAGCCTCTCTTTAAAACCTCTCCAGCAGCAGAAGTGCTGGCCATTGTGGTGTTTGTCCACCTCTGTGAGTGCCATTTTGTTGCCACGATTCTGTGGCATATAAATATCTAAATAAACTGAACCTCTTGGGCTTCCTGATCAGAAGGTTGGCAGTTCGAATCCCCGCAATGGGGTGAGCTCCCGTTGCTCTGTCCCAGCTCCTGCCAACCTAGCAATTCAAAAGCATACCAGTGCAAGTAGATAAATAGGTACCGCTGCAGCGGGAAGGTAAATGGCGTTTCCGTTCTCTCTGGTTTCCATCACGGTGTTCCGTTGCGCCAGAAGCGGTTTAGTCCTGCTGGCCACATGACCCGGAAAGCTGTCTGTGGACAAACACTGGCTCCCTCGGCCTGAAAGTGAGATGAGGGCTGCAACCTCATAGTCACCTTTGACTGGGCTTAGCCGTACAGGGGTCCTTTACCTTTACCTTTTTACCTGATGAATTAATAAGTTGGCATAACTATAGGGATGAATCTTGAAGTTTGAGACAGAGCTTCATAAGAGTTCAGCCACCTCAATGCATAAATAGGTTTTCTGAATTTTGTAAGAACATGAGAGAAACCTGCTGGATCAGGCCAAAGGCCCATATAGCCCAGCATTGTATTATCAGAGTAGACAAGCCTTTGGGAAACCCACAAACAGGTTCCAATTAAAATATACCAAATGTTGTAGATTCCAAAATGTGCCCAACTCTTTTGCTTGCTAAAATTTGATTGTCTTTTTGCTTGCCCTTTGCAGATTTACAGAAACTGAGACATTTACCGAAATGGTTCCCTTCCTTGTAAAGTTACTTGAACCAGATTGTAATATTATCAAGATGAGCTCAAGTGCCCTACAGGTCGCTGGCTTTCATGGCCTGTCCAATGTAATTAACAAGAACGTAATTACTTTAGACTACAACAGGAAAATAAACTTGGATTGTACCATAAGCCTGATTTCTGTAGAAACTTTCCTACCAGCCCATGGGCAACTTGTCAGAGGATCAGAAGAAGAAGAACCACCTCGTGGAGATCAGCCTCATAGTTTCCCTCCCACAACCGGTATGTACACTTTGTTTCTCTGCGCCTGTTATATCATCACAAATATCTTCATTCAGTGATGACGTTGTACAGGGGCGCCAACTTGCCTCCACATTATGGGGAGGGGCATGACGTGACACATCATGGAACATCATGGGAGGAGGAGCCACCAGCCATTAAAGCTGAATGGCCACTGTGTTTGGCTCTGCCCCAGATCCTTCCAACCGACGTCCTGACGTCATGCATACAACATTAGTTCCCCCAATCGCCCTTGTAAGCTGCTGCCTCTGCCCAATAAATGATGTCAGCAATGTCTATGCAACACGATGACCATGTACATTGTTACATGACCACAGCTCCACAGCATTTTATATTTTCATTTACATACATTCATTCGAAATAAGATGGGTTTATGAAGCAATTCTATATCTTCCCACCACACTGACGAAGAATTCTACGAAACAGTAGTCAATATCCGGAATCACTGTTCAGTGTTGGACATCATATTTGCTGAATACACAAAGCTTCACAGCTTGTCTTCTATCGTACAAAGTCTGGTACCTCGCTTCATTTAAAGATTTTCAGGGACTTCGAGACTAAAGATTTCATTTTGGACTTGTTATGGTTTGAAGGAATTCTCTAAAAGATTGTCTATTGCATATGTACATGGTCATCGTGTTGCGTAGCCCTTGCTGACGTTTTCTTTGCAACACAGGGATTTGTTTGGTTACTTATTGTTGTACCATGGCCAATAGAATGATGTGCCTTAACATGGTGCCTAAAAAATAATAAGAGTGGACGTCAGGCAAGTGTCCTTGGTGGGCTTCTCTGGGAGTGCATTCTATGAACAGAGAGATACTCCACCTGATTCACAGAGAACATAGAACTGGAGCTGGCTATTAAAATTATTCACAGAACATTTCATAGCCCCCTCATTCCGTCCCATAGGTGTTTCAGTGGTGAACTGTTCCTAGCTTCTGGTGTCTGATTTGCATCTTCTGTCCATGTTTCTCTTGAGAGAGAAAAAACCCACTGTGATTTCCTTTGGGCCATTAGGACATAGGAGAGGTGAAAAGTGTCCATCTGGGAGCTGTGTTTCGGGCCTGAAGACCGTACAGAATATTAAAGTGAGCTGTGAAGATTTTCTCCTGATGGGCCTAAGGTACCAACATTTGGACCCTCCTTCGCCCAACATTGATTACATTCCCATCAGGCTGGATCTCACAGACAGCAGAAGCAAGACCATCTACAAGGTAAAGGCCTTATACAGGGGTAGGCAACCTAAGGCCCAGGGGCCAGATGTGGCCCAATCGCCTTCTCAATCCGGCCCACAGAAAGTCTGGGAATCAGCGTGTTCTTACATGAGTAGAATATGTCCTTTTATTTAAAATGCATCTCTGGGTTATTTGTGGGGCATAGGAATTTCTTCATATATATTTTTCAAAATATAGTCCGGCCCACCACATGGTCTGAGGGACGGTGGACCGGCCCATGGCTGAAAAAGGTTGCTGACCCCTGGCCTTATAGGAAGGAACTTTGGCATAGACAGATGCAGGCTTAGGTGAAGCCAGCCTTTGCCAACCTGGTGTCCTCCAGATGTTTTGGACTACAAGTCCCACCAGCCTCAGACATGCCGGCTGGGACTTATGGGAATTGCAGTCCAAAACACCTGGATGGCACCACTGGGTTAGGCTGCCAGAAGAACATTCAGCCATGATTAGATGCTTACTTTGTCACCTGCTTCTTCTTCCGCAGTCTGAGCATGCTTGGCTTCCCGTTCACATTGGAGGTGCGTTTCCTAACCAGCCGCCCCAAGCTGCCTTCATGGCTATGCAAATCCTAGAAGCAGACCAGTTCATTCTGAGCCTGTTGTCAACAACCATACTGGATGCTGAAGACAGTGAAACAGCCAAATCCCTGCTCATCTTCAACATCACCAAACCACCCCGGGAAGGCTACATCACTCATCTGCAAGACCACACGAGGCCCATCTCATCCTTCACGTGGAACAGCCTCAATGATATGCTTATTGCTTATCAGCCACCAAACAGCAGCCACACAGAGAGGAGAAATTATGAGGTAACCAAAGCATTTTTAATGAAGTCTCTCACAAGATTTCAAAGCATTTATCAAGAAAGCCTTTTTTTAAAAAAAAATATACGGTTTCTTGATGGCTTTCCACTCCTACTGTCCTGATGTTTGTTTGTTTGTTTATTCCTTTTTATTAGCTGTTTTATAATACACATACTTTTATTATCTAAATCCCGCTACCATCAAATATTTCAGTAATCCATTGCTTATACCAGGCATAGGCAAACTTGGCCCTCCAGATGTTTTGAGACTACAATTCCCATCATCCCGGACCACTGGTTTTGTTAGCTAGGAATGATGGGAGTTGTAGTCCCAAAACATCTGGAGGGCTGAGTTCACCTATGCCTGGCTTACACAGTCAAACCTCAGTTTCCAAACACCTCTGCTTTGGAATGTTTCGGCTCCCGAATGCCGAAAACCTGAAAGTAAATGCTCTGGTTTTTTAATGTTTTCGGAAGGCAAACATCTGATGCGGCTTCCGCTTAAGTGCAGGAAGCTCTTGCAGCCAATCGGAAGCTGTGCCTTGGTTGTCGAACTTTTTGGAAGCTGAAAGGGCTTCCGGAACAGATGTGTTTGACAACCAAGGTTTGACTGTATATCAAATCCTGCCTGCAACTTCATATATTGGTGATTATCAGTGGTCTCCATTACTCCTTAAAAACTTTGTCATCATGTCCTCTTTATGCCATTACGTTCCATCATTTTCACAAGCCATTCCTCCTTCGTTGGCAATCCTTTCTCTTTCCACTTCTGTTGTCGAATAGGGTACTTGGGAATTTCATTGCTGTGTAGGTAAAGATAAAAGTAAAGGACCCCTGGACACTTAAGTCCAGTCAAAGGTGACTAGGGGGTTGCAGCACTCATCTCGCTTTCAGGCCAAGGGAGCTGGCGTTTGTCCACAGACAGCTTTCCAGGTCATATGGCCAGCATAATTAAACCGCTTCTGGTGCAATGGGACACTGTGGCGGAAACCAGAGTGCACAGAAACGCAGTTTACCTTCCTGCCACAGTGGTACCTATTTATCTACTTGCACTGGTGTGCTTTCGGACTGCTAGGTTGGCAGGAGCTGGGACAGAGCAACGGGAGCTCCCCCGCTTCATGTGTCACAATGACTGGAGTGTTGGACTATGACTTGGGAGAATGGGGTACGAATCCCCTCTCAGCTGCGTGGGTCACTGGGTGACCTTCGGCCAGTTGCCATCTCTTAGCCCAGCCTTTCTCAACCCAGGATTTCCCAGATGTTCTTGAACTACAACTTCCATCATCCCCGATCATTCGTTATATGCTGGCTAGGAATCATGGGAGTTGTAGTCCAACATCATCTAGGGATCCAAGGCTGAGAAAGGCTGTCTTAGCCTAACCTACCTTGCAGCAGGAGGAGTACCATGCTGAGTATCATTGCCCAGAAACAGATCAGTGACTTCCAGTCATGGTGGTGGCAGTTAGGTAATTTTGGACTCTGGAATTAATAGCCTTGTTACACCCCCTCTCTATAGACTGCAATTTGTGTTACTTCATTTCAGAACAGGGGGCTCCTGTTCAGTGGGACTCTGGACTTTTGACCCATTCTCTGGTTACATCACAGCACTTTTCAAAAGAGTGATTTCACACATTGTATTACAGGTCATCAAATGTTAAGTTATTAAATCATGAGGAATCTGGTGACCTGCATGCACATGTGAACCATCTCTGTGTGTCATTAAAGTTTGTTCAACTGCCTAGATTAATTTGTCAGAATCATGAGGGCTGTTTGCCACTTAATAAACATGAAACCCACTTTCCTTATAAATTCCCAAGTTACTAAAAATTTGGATCACAGCATTTGAAAGTTATATAGTTGCTTTATGATCATTATGATTATTATTACCAATGTTTTTCATCCAGTGCCGTCCTTTAATCCTTTCAGGGAATCTGTCATGTTCTGTTGTGCATGCTGTGTGAGGAATGGTTGATGCTGAGAGGCGATAAGATGGGAGAACTTATACATTTTAATAACATTAGAAAAGAATTACAAGTATTTGAGATGCATAAATGCTTATGAGAGCTTAAACAGAAAAGATAAATATCACCTATGACTGGATCTTGTCATCTCTTTAAATTTTAGCAAATAGCAATGGCAGTGAGTATGGTTGGAACAGAGACATCAGTGCCCTTTCCTTAGGGAAAATGTGTTCCATAAGCTGCTATTTAGCCTATTTTTATCTAATACCATTTCAAAAAATGGTTAAAAGGGGGGTGGATTTCTATTCTTTTAAAGAATCCCTAGCATTTGCATTTTCAGTTGCAAAAATACTATGGAAGTATAATTAGTGCTCCCTCTTGTGGAAGTTAAAATGAATGTCTCACATGTGAAACATTTTTTTAAGAATTAAATTGTACAAACTGACTACAGGGAACAGCATTTTTTTAAAAGGGGGGATATGGGAGATTATGGAGGGAAACATATGGTCTTTTAAACATTCTGGTTCCATTTAGCACTCTAAACCTCTCTGTGGTTGTTTTCCTATGTTATTTTGAGCTCAAGATCTTTCAAGATTTCTCTAGTTCAGAGGTTGGTAAACAATTGGCCCTCCAGATGTTGTTAGACACCGAATCCCATTAACCCCAGACAGCATCTCCAATGGTCAGGGATGGCAGTAGCAACAGCCCAGCAACGTTTGTAGGGTTCCCCACTCTGCAATAGTCTCTTACCTGTCAGCTGCTGTTTCATCTTCCCAGGTAATCTTTAGAAAACGCTGTTTCCATTTTTGTGTAACAGGTGGAGTTTGAAGTTCATGATTTGTACTTTGAAAGAAGTTCACCAATTACTATCCATATCTCTGTTAGAACGGCACACACAAATGCTCCTCGGGTCTCATGGAATACTGGTGAGAATTCATATTATGCTTCATAGTTTTCTTTAAAAGACAGGATGTGGCTGCAGAGGTCAAATGCAACAAACCAATATTCTTTCCGTAGGTTCTTTAGCTTTCTTAAATGAGAAGCCGCATGGGAATATGCCATTTTGTGGGGAAAGGTAGCTGCAGAAATTGTCCCTGAGTTTGTTTCTGTCATAGACTTGTTGACTCGTAGAATTGTAGAGTTGGAAGGGACCTGAGGATAATCTAGTCCAACCCCCCGCAATGCAGGAACATGCAGCTACGGGGATCAAACCTGCAACCTTGGGGTTATTAGCACCACAACTGAGCTAACCAGGCTCAGTGTGACACTAGTTTTGTGCTGCCTCCTAGGAAGACCCAGGGGAGGTTCATGATATCAACTCATATGTGCATCATGTGTCCCTTGTTGAATCAAAATGAGCATGTGATCTGAAAGCCATTGCACACCCTCTGACATTTCTCTGATGAAAATAGGGATGTCCTATTCCATTATTATTATTATTATTATTATTATTATTATTATTATTATTATCTCATCCATCTGACTGGGTTGCTCCAGCCACTCTAGGCAGCTTCCAACATAACATAAAAACATTAAACATTAAAAAGCTTCCCTATACAGGGCTGCCTTCAGATGGCTCGGGGTTCAGATAACTCCATACCGTCCAACATTTCTCTGGTGAGAATAGGGATGTCCTGTGGAAAAGTGGGACATTTCTGGATCAAATCAGAAACCAGGATCGCTTTTGTAAATCTGGGACTTTCCCTGGAAAATAGGGACAATTGGAGGGTCTGCCATTGTCCTCAGTGAAGTTTCTTGAAGGGGTCAGTGCTAAATGAGGCTTCAAAGAGTTACCTCCAGAGCTCTATATGGATGAAATTAATTCCTTTCTATAACAGACGCCAACTACTTGCATGGGACCTTTGAGTAAACCATATGGTTGTTTGATGGTTTAATCAAAGGCCCCATGCAAGTGGTAGGCATCTGTTATAGAAAGGAATGCACCATTAGTGCTGGGTTGCACTTATTGTTCTTACTGTTCTGAATAAATTACAGGTTCAGGGTTTCTGTTCTAGGTCTTGATCTCCTGGAAGGACAGTCTCGCCCTATAACTTGGGAGCAGTTTCAGATTGTAGATAATGACGACATCAATGGTGTTCGCATAGTCACTGTTGATGGTCTACAGCATGGACAGCTCACTCTAAGAGGTATTGTGTCCTCCCTGATGTCTGTATACAGATGTTACTATAGGTCAGTGCAGTTCATGCAACAATTCACCTTTTCAGCTGCCATGACAATGAGGATTTGAAGAGGAAGCCACTAGTGGGCTCATGACAAAACTAGGGTTGCCATATTTTTCAAACAGTGAAAATTCAGACAGAAAAGTTGTTGAGTTTCTTCTGGACATTTGACCGATTTCTGTCCAGACACCGATTTCTGCCGACTGCAGTATTCTGGATATGTCCAGGCAATTCCAGGTGTATCGCAACCCTAGACAAGACAGCACTTGTGAGAACTATACAACACCCTGGTGAGGCATGGTTTCTGACAAATGCCTTTGTATGACTTCTGCACAGCTGTAAGTCTAGTACTGGCTCCACATGAAGTTACTAAAGACACATCTGTGTATTTCTTAAACCTTTGGACCCTAAAGGTTAGCAGGAGAACTATAGCTTGGTGGTAGAGAACATATTTTTGCATGCAGAAGGTTCCAAGCGCAGTCCCTAGTATCTCAGTTTTTAAAAATTAGCTAGCCAGTGATGGGAAAGACTGAGTTGTATCCAACTAAGTGCTACTCAGAATAGACCCACTGAAATTAACAGTCCTAAGTTAATTGTGCAAATCAAGTTCAATGGGTCCACTCTGAGTATGACTAACATTGGTCACAACCCTCTGCTTGATACTAGGAATAGAGGAGAAATGTGTTTGGTCTGCATTTCAAAGCAAAGAAACCTAATTTGCAGGTCCCAGATTTATATGCAGATTGGAATGCAGCTGTCATTCTGATTATGTGTGTTTATGAATTTTCCAATGCAGTTTTTTAAAAACTGCATTGGAAACAGTTTAAAACAATAACAACATAAAACAAAAACTAAAAATTCACTCACTGGGTCACCATTGGTGATCATCCCTCCATTTCAGGTGGTGGGGAATGCATTGAAAAGTGTAAAACAAAACCCAAAAACAAACCATGTATTTTAGTGAACAAATATCTAATTTAAATGCACATTTTTCATGTACATTTTTTAAAAGCACACCAAAAAAAGGGATAGAATGTCAAATTGCACCCCCTGTTATTTGTATAAAAAATAGTGGGAAATTGTTTGGTGCATTTTAATTGCCACATGTTGCAAAATTATTATTCTGCAATTTTAAGTGTGGGTAACTCATTAACTCTTCCAGATAATGTGCTCTTGTGACATGGAAGCCTATATGTTGTTGCATTCACAACATAGTTTGGATTCTGTTGCAATATGTTCTTGTTTGCTTCACTAACATTCCAGAGAAAAACGATGTTGTGTCTGTCACTCAGTAAACCAGCATTGATCCAGTAAGCCAGTTCTGATGTTTATAGTGAAGGAATCATATTCATTTAATGGTGGTTATTCTTTGGATTGGCTAGTCTGGAAGCTTCTCTTCTATGTAACAAGATTGTTTTCTGCAATTCATGAGGAGGGATGATCACCAATGGTGACCCAGTGAGTGAATTTGTACAGGGCTGAAATCTTTTATGATTTCCTGGTCTTCGCCCTCCAATTTCTACCTCTTATAAACTTAATCATTTCTGTTCATAAGCTTCACACCTTCTAAAGTAGTATTACCTTTTTTTAAAGCATACACCCATTATGAATCATGTTCCTGCTGTTGTCTGACAGGAGGAAAGGGATTCATGTTCACAGTCTCAGACCTTAAGGATGGTCTTGTCCGTTACCATCACGATGACAGTGATTCCACAAAGGACTATATTGTCTTCAGGATCTTTGATAACCGACACAGCAGTCGCCACAAATTTCCAATCAACATTCTGCCTAAAGATGACAGCCCTCCATTTCTCATCAGTAATGTTGAAATAGAAGTGCATGAAGGACAGACAATTCTGATCCAAGGCTCAATGCTTCAAGCCTCCGACATGGACTCTAGCGATGACTACATACTCTTCAATATAACCAAAGCATCACAGGCAGGAGAAATCATGAAGAAACCTGGACCAGACCTAATTGGTAAAATGTTAGACAAACTGAAGGGGGGAGAGCATCTTTCTTTCTGCGTGTGTGTGTGTGTGTGTGTGTGTGTGTTATGTCTATGTCTTGCTTTCAGATATATTCCCATATCCCTTTTTAACGCTTGAGATTTCAACTGTTTTCCAGGCCTTAGTAAACAGGCTGTGAGTTTCAGCTTTGGTGTGATTATGCCAGTTAAGCCACACCCTGCGATCACAAGATGTGGTGTGCACACACGATTTAATGGCAATGCGCATAAATTTGGGGGCACCCTGCATAATGAATTTGTTTAAGATGAGACTCTTGTCCAGGCAGGGCCGTCTTTACCCAGGGGTGCAAGGGGCGTGGGGCACCTGGGTACCAAATTCTGGGGGGCGCCAACCAGTCCCTCTTGATCAGTTGCAGTGAAAAGCAATGGAACAAAAGTCCCCAGCCCCCTCCTCCGTTGCTCTGTTACTCCGTAGTATCAAATATTCCTGATGAGTCAGGAAACAAAAGCAGCTTTTCTGCTGCGTTGATGGTCAATAACTTTGGGCTTCCCTCCTCCCCATAAAAGCTCAGTAAAAGTTAATTTGGGGGCACTGGGCAGATCTTTGCACTCTGACGGCACATATGTTAAAGACGGCCCTGAGTCGAGGGGTTGAGAGCCTTTTCAAGCTTAAGAAACTCATTCCATTCCGGGCAGCATTCATGCCAGTGGGAGGCAGTGCATCAAATGTAACTGTTACCTTTTTACAATAGGCTAGTTTCTCACAAATTCCCTCTATCTTGCATTCAGGCAAGCTAGATGCTATAGTCCTTTGTCTAATAATCCCTAGCCAATGAAGAAAAGCAAAGTGTACACCTCAGTCATGCCCAAGACTGCTACTGAGTTGCTTTGAGTTTGGTTGGTAAAACTGCACAGCAAACGTTTCCTCATAAATGTTTATTTCTCAGGAGAAATTTCTTTTATTTGCTTTTCATTAAAAAGGACTTGGGCAGCCAAGGATATTTTCATGGTCCAAAGATCCCTGGCAGCTTTAAGGGAGAAGGTAATGCCAGACGTGCTAAATGGAAGATAACTGAGGCCTGTGGCAGAGAGTTTGACCATTGTTTTTTTTTATTATAAAGGGTCATATTCTTCTCCATAGTGGAGGTATCAGTAAAATACTTGGGTTTTTTATTTTAGAAAAACCACAAAGCCTTCACAGGAGCACCATTATGGCATTAAATACAAGGCCCTAATTCTTATAGGTCTAAAATATATTTTCTTCTGTGATTCACCAGGTTATCCTGTCACTAAATTTCTTCAGAAAGATCTATTCAATGGGATCATTTACTACCACCACTTAGGAGGAGAAATATTTGAAGATTCCATTGAATTTGTTCTGTGTGACTGTAATGATCCTCCGAATCTTTCAGAAACTCAGGTATGTCATTGGGAGATATATTGCAAGGCCACGAGGGAGAACACAATGACACCTGTGTTTTATGAATGTCATTTTATTGTTGACTTTTTATGCTTTTCACTTAATGTTGGCAGCATAGTTTGTTTGTTTTTGCAAATGAAACAAATCAATAAAATATATCTATAATCATGGACTGCACTCCTAAACATGCTCACTGTGGGATTTAATCCCAAGTAAACATACATAGGAGTGAACTGTAAAATGTGATAGTCTACTTTTCCTTAAACCAGAAGGATTCAGCCCATTATATTACTAAAGTGCTTCACAAATTTCAAGGCTATGTATCAATGTTCAGGGAAGGGATTGCATAGCAGGCAAACAGAAAATCTGAAATTTCCTTAATAGGTTGAATAATTAGACAAAATCTGGATAACAGAAAATGCTGGGATTTATTTGTAATATCTGTCTGTCTGTCTGTCTGTTCTGTCTGTCTGGGTTTCAACAAATTGAACTTGTATGTACACATCTTTAAAAACAACAGTCATGGGCAGTTCTAGAACCCAAGTTTAAGATCTCATGAAAAAATACATTGTAAAGTTTTCAAATAGTGACTTTAGCAGAAATCTATTGAATCACAGGACACTTGAGGAATATTTTAGCATCTTTTCCTGTCTTGTCATTTCTTCCAGCAGATGCTAAATGCTTATTGTCTAACACTGTCTAAACACCATGGCCTGTTTGCTGCAATATTTCCAATGACCTGGGTGTCCTGACCACCACCACTATATAATGGTTTTCTAAATCCTTACACTAGGAAGTCAGAGTGCACATAATTCCTTCAGATGATCAACTTCCCAAAGAAATTTCAGGGACGAGCCGCCATCTAACTGTCAAGGAAACTGAGATCGTCCATCTAACAAAGAAACATCTCAGTTATATCGACAGAGAAGCACAGGAAAGGGAGATCATCTATACTATAACTTCTCCCCCATTCTTCTCTTCTGTACATCAGTAAGGCTTGTGTGAATGGTTACTTCTCATAAGGAAAGGGTGCATTTTCAAAATGTTGCATGGCAGAGCTGGTGATGACCTAGCAAAACTCTGATTAGTAATTAGCATTTGTATTTGCGTTCCTCGGATAGGGGAGTTAAGAATGTTTTCAAAGTAGTCTGACCAAAGCCCATTCTTCTGCATTGCCCACGTGGTGCAAGTCTCAGGTCTTGCTAGCTACCACTGTCATTTTCCATCCTTAATTTATGAACAGATGTAAAACGGTTAATGCATGCAAACTTATATGGTGAAGCACAGCAGCGGTCAGAAGATAATGAGCCAGCAGAAAGCAAAACACCACCCCCCAAATTTCAAATCTGCTTTGAAAGAAGATGTGAAAGTGCAGTTCTGTAGGGTTGCCATTTTTAAAAAAAATTTAAAATTTGGACACAAAAGTTGTTGAGTTGTTTTTTGGGCCAAAGTTGTTTAGCTTTTTCTGCAAACCCCCCCCCCCAATATTTTTACGCCTTCTGACATGGATTTCCATAAGCCTGGGTTTTCCTGGACATTTGTACCAATTTTCAGATGCTATTTCTGACGTACGAATCCAAGGAAATCAGGGAAATCCCAAACGTATGGCAGCCCTAGGTTCTGAGAATTGATGTCTCCTATTCGACTGCTCAGATCTTTTTTGAAGCAGCAAGCACAGTCCAAACAACTGTATAAGGACCACAAAGCATGAACCCTACAATCAGTTCACCATTCAAGGTTTTGACCGTGTGACTTCACATAGCACTGATAGATGGATGAAATGACAGGAAATTAAGGTTAAAAGGCAATAAGCTACATGCATACACATCCTAATTGCATTTCATATTTTGCTTGCTTTGATTTCCCAATCCATTGTAAAATTATCTGAAACAGTAGAAATGGGGAGTAGGGTTATAACTTTTTTGCAACCTCATGTTCCTGTAGCTTTGTTAGATGAACTTTTGCCCAGAAACAAAGGTATGAAGTGTCATTTCCAAATCTTTTGAAAAAAGCTCGCCCCGAAATCAATAAATCGATTTTTGTATATTCAACTCTATAACATATTATGTAACATGCATAGCATGTAGGAATACAGGAAAAGTAGAGCTTGCACATTTTCTAATGCTTGTACAATGTTTCAAACATTGTGTATCACTTCTTATTGCTTAGAATAAACCGAGGTTCTTGTGTGACATTGTATATTGCCCCTGAAACAAATATTAAAAGTTAAGTTTAGTTGTTTGCCCACAAAGCTTTCTATATAGACCAATATTTGGATTCTTCTAGAAAGTTCAAAACAGTTTTAGGAAGTTCCAGACCGCTGTAAAAGTTCAAAAGAGTTCCATAAAGTTTTTTGTGGTTTTTTTAAGTGCTAATATTTATGAGTAGTAATACAGTTATTCCAACTTCAGGGTGACCTTTTCACAACTGAGAAGAATTAGTCCCCTTTTCAGTGTTTCTAAGCAAAAGTCCATCCCTTTATGATACAGGAAATAATTGGGGGGGGGGTTGGGGCAGAGTAAAAAATATATAACCCTAATGGGGAGATGGTGACTATTTCTGGTGAGAGAAATTAGTTTTGGGATGTACATTTGTATCTTCTTTTCCTATTTAAAAAGTTATATGATTCTGCATATGTGTTCTCTATTATGACAATACCTTTCTGCGCAGCCACATGGATGCTGGGAAACTGTTTATGGTTGACAGCATTCCTAAACTGATTAAGGATCCTGCTACTCCGTCACTGTTATCATTCACACAGGTTAGTTATCAAGGTTAAATTCTGTCACCCAGTAGCCTCACTTCATACATTTGTACCTTGGTTGTCAAAAGCCCTGGAACTCGGACGTTTTGGCTCCCAAACGCCACAAACCCAGAAGTAATTGTTCCAGTTTACGAACGTTCTTTTGGAACCCGAACATCTGCAGCTTCTGATTGGCTGCAGGAGCTTCCTATAGCCAATCAGAAGCCGCAGTTTGGTTTTCTGGTGTTTTGGATTCCATTTGACTTCCAAGGTATGACTGTATATGGGATCTTACTGTAATTATTATTATTATTATTATTATTATTATTATTTATTAAATTTGTATACAGTGGTACCTCGGGTTAAGTACTTAATTCATTCCGGAGGTCTGTACTTAACCTGAAACTGCTCTTAACCTGAAGTACCACTTTAGCTAATGGGGCCTCCTGCTGCCGCTGCGCCATCAGAGCACGATTTCTATTCTCATCCTGAAGCAAAGTTCTTAACCTGAAGCAATATTTCTGGGTTAGCTGAGTCTGTAACCTGAAGTGTATGTAACCTGAAGCATATGTAACCCAAGGTACCACTGTACCGCCATATACCCGCAGGTATATGATGATTAGAAAACCAGTGGAGTTTATTACTATACCGTTTATGTTTACCAGGAGTAGCACACTGTGGCCCTGTAGATGTTGTTAAGCTACAGTTCCCATCATCCTTTGGCCAAGTGGCTAGGGCTGATGGAAGTTGTAGGTTCCCCACCCCTACTGTATTGAATACAAGGTATACTATGCTGTGGATAGTAATGCAAGTTTAGATATGGGAATTGGGGGGTGAATATATCCCTTACATTTTGTTTGTTTGTTTGTTTGTTTGCTCCTAGCATGCCATAAACCACATGAAAGTTGCTTACATGCCACCGTTGCAAGATATTGGCCCTGAGCCTCAGTATATCCAGTTTACATTTTCAGTCGGCAATCGACATGGCAACACTTTGCAGGGGATCTGTTTTAACATTACCATTGTCCCAGTAGACAATCAAGCTCCGGAGGTATGACTGCAATGCTAACAGGAACAAGAAAAAATTAGAGATTCGACATATTTCAGGGTTGAACTTAGCTAAAAAAGAAGAAACTGTTGTTTGGGCTTGTGATTTTTTTTCCTTTTTGTTGTTTCAGCTCTTGAATGATGAAATCAAAGTATAATATTTTTAGAATTAGATCATGTCTTCCCTAAACACGTTTAAGAAGGATATGTTTTGCTTTCCATCCTACTGTCTCAGAATAGAAACCACACATTATTTGGACAAACATGTGTTTCCCAGGCTTGTGGCTTTTCATTAATGTGAATACAGGGCAGATTGTATCATTTGCATGGAAAAACTGGTGGGCTGTAATGGGAGTGCTTAATCCCTCCTTTTTAAAAAAATATATTTTATTGTTTCAATATTTTTAACATATGCAGTCAAAACACAGTTTTGTCTTTTCTCTTATTTTTCTAGCTTCCCACCACTTTTTCCATGGAGTTGTTGTTTTTCTCCTTCTGCCGCACCTGATCTTCTATCTATCAAATCATAACCACAATAATACACTCGAATTACTTCTATTGCTCATAGCTCAAATTCTGCTCACAAGTTCATCATACTACTGTATAATATTTCTTTAAATTTATGGGATCTCACTAACTTTAAATGTAGCCATGCAGGGGCAAATTTCACAAAGCACAACATATATATATATATATATATATATGTATATATATATATATATATAATTTGTGTGTGTCGTTGGTTACCCTAGTTTCTTTCTTTTTCTAAAATCGTATTCTTGACTTAATTACAATTGTATAAAGCTTGCACTGTGGCCATCCTGCAAATACTGTAGGTAGATCATCTCCCCTTTTTCAGCTGTGCAAAATGATGTGGTAAAAAAATATTGTTGTTGTTTAGTCGTGTCCGACTCTTATTGACCCCATGGACCAGAGCATTAGCTCAAGGTAAAAGGATCAACAAAAACATCTTCTGAGAGGAACACTGGAACTTTTCTCTCTTTCCTTCTGTCCAGGTGTTCACAAACAACTTGAAAGTAGAAGAAGGGGGGTCATGTACCATTACAGAGGGCCACATTTTGATTTCAGATGTGGACACCAAACAGGAGAAGATCCGCATACATCTGCAAAGGCCACCTCTTCACGGAGCTGTTGAGCTGGCTGGGATTCCTATGAATCAGGGGGACTGGCTCACCTGTGAAGACCTGCACCTGTCCAAAGTCAGGTTAGAAGGCCCTGAATATATATATGCCTGCTCTGTTATTGCTGTAGATTCTGCTAATTCAGCCCATGAATCAAAACAGTACTGAGAGCAGAAACAAATGACTCCGATGTATGTTTTGATGAACTCCAGCAATTCACCTGTAGATTGAGGATCAAAGGTTGGAATCTCTCTCTCTCTCTCTCTCTCTCTCTCTCACACACACACACACACACACACACACACACTTCCCTGCAGATACAAAGCTAGAATGCCAGTGAAGGCTAGTACAGAACATCATCTCTGATATGCTTGTTTGTGTTTGTTTTTTGAGACAGGGCCTTTTCCACTCCACTGCAAAGCAGGAGAGGGCAGACTTCAGGCTTGTGGGACCTATTTTGTTTTGTTTTGTTTACATAAAAAGATCTTGCCCAACAACTTATTCCCAGCAACTGATGTTCAGAAGCATGCTGCTTCTGACAGCGCAAGTGGAACTTGGAGCTTGTGGCCAGTAGCCTCTTCCTTCATGAATAGGTCTAATCTTTTTTCAAAGTGATCCAAGTTGGTGGGCATCACTGCCTCCGATAAGAGTGAGTTTAGCTATGTGCTGCATGAAGAAGTACAGTGGTACCTCTGGTTAAGAACTTAATTCGTTCTGGAGGTCCGTTCTTAACCTGAAACTGTTCTTAACCTGAGGTACCACTTTAGCTAATGGGGCCTCCCGCTGCCACTGCACCGCCGGAGCACGATTTCTGTTCTCATCCTGAAGCAAAGTTCTTAACCTGAGGTACTATTTTTGGGTTAGCAGAGTCTATAACCTGAAGTGTCTGTAACCCGAGGTACCACTGTACTTCATTATTACAAACCTAAGGTCTGCCACCACTGGCAAAAATACTGGGTTAGTGGGGTGACATTCTCTGAGAACGCTCAGCTGTTAAATCTGTGAGCAGTACCAAAACCGAACTCAAAGATTATTTCATACCCATTCCTGGATTCTTTTTTCAGCCACCTAATTTAATGAGGGAGGGAAGCTTTATAGTTGCTGCTGTTGTTACACAACGGGCAGTAAGTAAGCCTTGAAGGTAAGTAAGTGAAGTATGCCCAGTGTAGCATTAAATTAATCCCTGTGGTGGTATCAGTACCACTACTATCTACTCCAGTGAAGGAGGAAGAGAAAGGAGGACCATAACGTCAACCTCTGGCTTCTTCAGGTATGACAGGGAAAGGCCCCTGTCCGATACCCTGAAGAGAGTACTGGAAATAATATTATTTATGGTTTTGTGGATGCTTTTTACTGATTTTATTTTTATACGTTGTATATTGCACTTGATTTTTTTTTAAATGAAAGGGCAGGTTATAAATACAGTGGTGCCTCGCAAGACAAAAAGAATCCGTTCTGGGAGTCTCTTCGTCTAGCGGTTTTTTCGTCTTGCGAAGCAAGCCCATTGACGGGATTAGCGCTATTAGCGCTATTAGCGGCTTTTAGCGGCTTTTAGCAGCTTATCAGCTTATCGGATAAGCAGATAAGCGGCTTAGCGACTTAGAAAAAGAGGGGGAAAAGGAAAAAAAAACCCCAGGAACTCGCAAGACATTTTCGTCTTGCGAAGCAAGCCCATTGCAGATTCGTTTTGCAAGGCACCTCCAAAACGGAAAACTCTTTCGTCTAGCGAGTTTTCCGTCTTGCGAGGCATTCGTCTTGCGGGGCACCACTGTATGCAAATAAATACATCACCCGGCTGTGAGTGTGAAGGCTGCTCCCCACAAGGCCCTTTCCACCTGGCCAGACTCACCAGCCTTACTGAAGAGGCTCCTCATGAGGCCGGAGGAACATCACCCGGCTATTGTTTTTTTCTTATATTGATTTAATATGCTGTACACCACTTTGAGATTTTTATTAAAAACATAAAGCGGTATAGAAATTGAAATAAATGAATACCCTAATTTATTTTGCAGAATGATAAAGTAGTAAGAAATTGGATTATCAAGCACACAAATTCCAATCCCATCTATTCCAGTCAATCGGCACTAGGTTTTATTGCGAATCAAAAGACTCCTTGCCGAAAGGAGCAGCAATGTTTTTCAGCCACTGGGCAAAAGGCAAGCTTGCCTCAGGTTCTGGCCTGGTAAGGGTTGGCAGACAAAACAACTGCTTGTTATCCCAGCTTCTCCTACAGACAGTGGCTTCAGGCGCTCAGAAGTCCACCTGAACTCAAGGGAGGCCATAGTTCAGTGGTTTGCATGCAGAAGGTCTCAGGTTCCATCTTTGGCCTCTCCAGTTGGGGCTAGGGGTGTCCGAAACCCTGAAGAACTGCTGCCACTCAATGTAAACAGTGCTGAACTAGGTGAACCAATGTTCTGCCTCAGTATAATGCATTTTCCTATGTTCCTTCCTAAGTTTTGATGCCCCATCCCCTTTCTTTGCCTTTCACCTCTATCTTTAACTACTAACGTAGACTGTTAGATCTCTGGGCAAGAACTGTGAATTCTTATATACTGCACATTGTAGTAGGTGTGTGGTGCTGATGGCAGCAGTCGTAACAATGCAAACATTTGAAATGAGTTCAGAATCTTATCCCTGCAGGTATCTTCACGACGGTTCTGAGGTTCTGCTGGACCGTATCCTGCTTGCAGCTACAGACGGTATCAATTCCTTTGAGTTCATTCTGCAAGTTCAGGTCAGTGTGAGATTCATCAGAATATTAGTTCTCTGGAAGATGACAATTTTCAGGGGGCTTTGTGGTTATTTTAGAAACTGGGAGGTCTTGGACGAGATAGGGATTCTTCTGCACTTTTGAGGCTTATGTTATACTTGTTTGATGGGTATTATTGTAAGAGATACCTGCACCTTTCAGTTTTTCCTGTACTGTCAGGGATGAATCCACTCAGAATTAAATGCTGAAAAATGCAATGCATCAGCAAAAGAGAGATGCTTTATTTTTACGTATGAACGTTTCATCCTTAAAGGACTTGAAACCACTTGCAAATAAACACTGTGCTGTGTTTTGTATATATTTGGCCCTACCATCATTCGCTAAAACTCCCTAGTTTATTAAAAGTCAAAAATCAGGTTGGAGACATTGGGATGTTTTAGTCAGTGTTGCTCATACTCTGAGTAGCCACATGGAGATGAATGGGTGTGATTAACTTAGGTCCATTCGGTACATTGTTCTTGTTGTTTTGTTGTTGTTGTTGTTGTTGTTTTGGGGGTACTGAAGGGTACGTAGTACCGGCACTTCTTTTTTTAATTTATTTTTAAAAATGTGACACTTACTGTAACAACTTCATGGTGAATACCGGCCCCTATTTTTCTAGAAAGAAAGCACTGGGTCCATCCATTTACGTAGAGTTGTATAAAGCCCATTATTTTAAAAATTAGGAAGATATCAGTACACTAGGGGTGTTTGCAGAGGGTTATGTTTCTACAGTTCTGGACCCTCAGTGAGACAAACAGGTGCTGCATCAAGTCAGTCAATCAGTTTATTGCGTTTTAGCAAACAGCCAATATACACATAAGAAATAATAATAATATAATAATAGTAGTGATCTGCATTTATAGTCCTTAACCTTTAAAGGATACATCATTTCCCATACCTCCTTTAAAATGTAGCATGGATCTGTAGAGCCTCAGCAAGAAATTCAGATATTCTGAAAGATATGTTCTTCTCTGCATTAGACAGCAAAAAAACACACCACCTGCACCATTTTTTTAATAGCTGCATCAAAATTTATATTTTTTTTAAGCGTACATTTATGGGGTTAGATCCAAACGCATAGGACATGGGTGGCGCTGTGGGTTAAACCAGAGAGCCTAGGACTTGCCAATCAGAAGGTCGGCGGTTCGAATCCCTGCCACTGGGTGAGCTCCCGTTGCTCGGTCCCTGCTCCTGCCAACCTAGCAGTTCAAAAGTACATCAAAAGTGTAAGTAGATAAATAGGCAGGAAGGTAAATGGTGGTTCCGTGCGCTACTCTGGTTCACCAGAAGCAGCTTAGTCATGCTGGCCACATGACCCAGAAGCTGTACGCCCTCGGCCAATAAAGTGAGATGAGCACCGCAACCCCAGAGTCGGTCACGACTGGACCTAATGGTCAGGGGTCCCTTTACCTTTATCCAAATGCATGCGATGGAATATGGATGCCATAAAAATAAGCTTGGGAAGTAATTCATTTTCAAGACAAGTAGTAGAAGGAGGGGTGCTTAACCCTTTCCTGGCCCACCATTTCCTTGCTCAAAATTGTACTTTCCAGAATTCTCTCTCTCCCCTCCCCCCATAACCCTTTGGTTAGGAGGTGGGATTTTGAGTTAATATATGGGCTGGGAAAAGGTTAAACATCTCCTTCCCCCACTGTTCAATATCTGTAATTCCAAAGCTACTTTTCTTTTCTTAATATATTATGTCAGTGCTCCCTTTCATGTTTGCACATGTGGAGATGAGACACCTATATTTAGAAACATTGACAAATCCAAATTTCCTACCATGAAATGAGAAGATCTGCCTTAGGATAGCCTATCTGTAAGTGAATACATGGGCTTTCACAATTTGTAGGCACAACAGTGCCTATAACTGTAATGTTTTCTTTACCTGCTTTTTGTTAATCTGTCCTTTTCCCCCAAATTTCTATTCCTTAGTATTGGAAAGTTTTTAATGTTTGACGTTTTACAATGTATTTATATGTGTTGTGAGCCGCTCAGAGTGGCTGGAGAAACTCAGCCAGATGGGCTAGGCATTAATAATAATAATAATAATAATAATAATAATAATGGAATAGGACATCCCTATTTTCAACAGCAGTGTCAGTAGCTGGTGTTCTGCTTAACTGAACCCAAATCTACCAGCATTTACTCTTTGCTGTAAATAAAACATCCCCTTCATCCTGTCATAGCTTCCCGTTTTTGCAACCATGCTTACACACAGAAATGAATGGCCAGCACAGTTTTTCTCTCAAGCATATTTTTTCCAGGTGAATCCAGTAAATGATGAACCTCCTGTCATGAATGCTGACCTCATTCCCTCCATCGAATGCCCAGAGGGTCAGGCAGTGGCCATCACCTCGGAGAACCTTTATGCTACTGATGAAGATAGTGAAGACATGCAGCTGATGTTCATGCTCGCTCGAAATCCTAAATATGGGGTTGTGAAGAAAGATGGGATTGTGGTGGATCGCTTTCCACAAGTAGATGTTGTTTCTGGGGCAGTGGAATACGAACATACAAGTAAGTGTGAGCAATGCTCTGATCATATATCATAGGGTTGCCATATTTCAAAAAGTTTGGCCAACGTAGTTGAGCTTTCTTTGCAAAATCTCAAAAAAAGTTTTTGAGCTATTTTTAAATGAAATTCACCAAAATCTATACTTCCAACATGGGCTGCCAAACGTCCAGATCTTCCCAGACATTTTTTTACCAATTTCCACCCATACGCTATTTACGAGGGCTGAATCCCGGCTGAATGCTCGTATCACAACCTTTATCTATCCAGGCCAAGTCTTTATTCCTGTTACATGAAATTACAAGTGGTTGCAACCCCATCTTGGGGATAAAGGGGGCTCCGTTGTGTGGGGGGGTATTGTTTTTGTTTGTTATTATGGTATGTAATTTTGCAGAGACTTTTCAGGGAGCTGCTGGGGGTGGTTTGCAGGGAGAGAGAGAAATCAGCTTCCACCTGTCCACTTCTGCATGTTGATCTCTGGACCCAATCCTTATTGAATAATAATGGATGTTCCTTGGAAATTAAAATCTTTTGGTTCATATCTTGGAAATAAAAACATACTGGCTATAGCCAAGCCAATTGTAAGTGCTTATCAGTTTCATTTATTTCTGTAAAAGAGATTGGAACATACCAATTTTAAGCAATGGGACTTCATGTTGTTGCTGTTGTTGTTTAGTCATTTAGTCGTGTCCGACTCTTCGTGACCCCATGGACCAGAGCATGCCAGGCACTCCTGTCTTCCACTGCCTCCCGCAGTTTAGTCAAACTCATGCTGGTAGCTTCGAGAACACTATCCAACCATCTCGTCTTCTGTCGTCCCCTTCTCCTTGTGCCCTCCATCTTTCCCAACACCAGGGTCTTTTCCAGGAGTCTTCTCTTCTCATGAGGTGGCCAAAGTATTGGAGCCTCAGCTTCAGGATCTGTCCTTCCAGTGAGCACTCAGGTCTGATTTCTTTAAAAATGGACGTGTTTGATCTTCTTGCAGTCCATGAGATTCTCAAGAGTCTCCTCCAGCACCATAATTCAAAAGCATCAATTCTTTGGCGATCAGCCTTCTTTATGGTCCAGCTCTCACTTCCGTACAATGGGACTTCATAATCCTTGTCAATTGTTTCCAAAATGGTTATTGGGGAAAATACAGAAACATGAACATAGAATTGCTTTAACATTAATAATTCCTATATATATGGCTTATCTCTTAAGTGATAGACATATGTATTGATTTCTAGATCATTAGATTAACATTTTTTCCTGGGGGTAGTCTTTTTATCTTATTTGCATGACACAGAAAAGATGTCTATACAGCCATGTGGATGTCTTTGTTATTGTTCCTTGCAAGACAAGGATGGGGAACCTGTGACTTTCCAGTTGTTTCTGGTCTACAACTTCCATCTTCCTGACCGTTGGCTGTGTTGATCATGGTGGATGGGAGCTGGGGTCCAACAAAATCTGGAGCACCACAGTTTAGCCATCATTGTTGGAGGGAATAAGTTACCATAATTGAGTAATTTCAGAAAGTCCTCCCATTCTTCTCGTCTCTTCTTTATGACTATGGCTGAAAATATTTTGCACCTCGGCATTTTAAACAAATGTTGCTTGCATTGCAAAAATATCCTGTTTTATCTCTTGTTGTTTCTTTCTTTGTTTTCCCCAGGTGGAGAGATTGGCTTCACCCCTTTATTTGATATCCTTACCTTTGTTGTATCGGATGATGAAATTGGCCCAACAAATGAGTGTTGTTATGATGAATCTCCTTTTCCTCCTGTTCCGCTTCATAAATCTTTTCCAGTATATGATATTAACATCACAATATTTCCTATAGACAACCAACCACCATCCATTGTTACTGGTAAAACATCTTTACATTTTTTTATTTTATTTTTTGTATGCCCAGCTGGCTTGTTGAGAATTTAAGATTATAATTCAGGACATGTTAGGACAATGCTGAACTGTCTATGCTAATTTATTTACAAAGCACTTAAGGTTTTCAAGCCACTGTACAAAGATTTTTTATATATTAAAAAAATGTTTTTCAGTTTTTTAAACTTTTTTACAAACATACAAATCCAATATTTCCCCAATAGACATATGTATATTTACCCCACCACTTTGTGGTTTCTTATATTTTTTAATTCTTCGCAATGCATTTTCCTCATTATTCTAATTATTAATTATTCCCTACTTTTCCTTTAACATTAATTTTAACTGCTTGGTTTTAAATTAATCCTGCCAATGAACTTAAATGTATACAATAACTTTTCAAATATTCCACAAATTTCCCCCATTCTTTAATAAAGTTTTTTTCTTCTTGGTTTCTTATTGCTCCAGTAAGTTTTACCATTTCAGCATAGTCCATTAATTTAATCTGCCACTCCTCCTTGGTCGGTACAGAATCTTCTTTCCATCTCTTTCTTTCTTTTAAGACGCTTTAAGACGGTTGTTCCATGCATGCTTAGCTTAAAAATGTTGAAGTAAGGGATTTCCATGGAAAAAATATCACATAACCTAAATGAGTCCTACATGCCTAGACCAGACACTGCATCGATTCTCTGAGACAATTTCAATAGTTGTTTATTTTTTATAACTGAGTGGCGTTATACGAAAGGCAGCTCTTTTGCCAGTAATGTGTGCATGTCCACTACTTTTCAATGAGGTATGTATGAGTAACTTTGTGATTTGCAGCCTATCACCTAAGCAATGTTCTGGAAATGAAGGATTGTCCCAGCAGGGAAATTAAGCACTGATGCATGAAAAATGGTTCATTATGAGCAATTCATAACAGCTCTCAGGCAATTAATGCTGTGACAAACAGAGGTAACAACCGATCTTGAGCACTGCATAAACCATACTGAATAGCTTATCAACAGAATTGTTTTGCAAGTGTGGTCCCCTCCCCCTTTCTCCCTCCTCATTCAATTGGTGAGGATGAAGAGTCATTGGTACGGCACGACTGGAAAACGTTGCTATCAAGCAGATGGCTTTCACCACCAGTTATCTGAGACATTTCTTTAGCTTTGCAATTCCGGCTCCTTAAGTCACACAGTGCTTATCACTGAAGAAGTGTGCATGCACACAAAAGCTCATACCAATAACAAACTTAGTTGGTCTCTAAGGTGCTACTAAAGGACGCGGGTGGCGCTGTGGGCTAAACCACTGCACCTAGGACTTGCCGATCGGATGGTCGGCGGTTCGAATCCCTGCGACAGGGTGAGCTCCCGTTGCTCAGTCCCAGCTCCTGCCCACCTAGCAGTTCGAAAGCACCTCAAAGTGAAAGTAGATAAATAGGGACCGCTCTCCGGCAGGAAGGTAAACGGCGTTTCCGTGTGCTGCTCTGATTCGACAGTAGCTGCTTAGTCACGCTGGCCACGTGATCCGGAAGCTGTCTGCGGACAAGCGCTGGCTCCCGGCCTCTTGAGTGAGATGAGCACACAACCCCAGAGTCGGTCACGACTGGACCGTATGGGCAGGGGTCCTTTACCTTTACCTTTTAAGGTGCTACTGGAAGGAATTTTTTAATTTTGTTTCGGCTACAGCAGACCTACACAGCTACCTACCTGTGACTAGTACTTATCACTATATCATTTGTTTGCAGGTGCCATGTTTGTTGTGGACGAGGGCACCTCGGCTGCCATTACAATTAACCACTTGTCTGCCGCTGATCCTGACACGAAAGCAGATGACTTGCAGCTTGTTTTAGCTTCTCCTCCCCAATTTGGGTACATAGAGAATATATTGCCTTCCCCTGGCTTTGAGAAAAGCAATGTGGGAATAAGCATAGGTATGTGTGCTACAGGGAAAGGCAACTTGTATTTAAATCTAGGCACATTGCCAACACCTCTGCAGTCCATTTTGCCTTCCTGTGGTCAAATGTATGCAGAAGCCATTACCAGTGAAGAATCAAAAGAATTGTAGAGTTGGAAGGGACCACTAGGATAATCTAGCCCGGTGTTTCCCAATCTTGGGGCTCCAGCTGTTTTTGGACTACAGTTTCCATCATTCGTGACCACTGGCCCTGCTACTTAGGGATGATGGGAATTGTAGTCCCAAAAAACAGAGACTCAAGTTTGGGGAACACTGATCTAGTCCGCAGCCCTGAAATGCAGGAATCTTTTGCCCAAAGTGGGGCTCGAACCCACAACTCTAAGATTATGGGTCTCATGCTCTACTAGCTGAGCCACTCCACCACTGCAATGCTGCTGCCTTAAGCCCCCACCTCTTCTGGTTTTCCAATGAATGCCAGGTGGATGCCATTGTGATGAAGAGAGTGATGCTAAGTCTCTTCAGGACAATGTGGGTAATTACAAGTTAACCCTCCTTTGCCATTGTCTGCCTTCATTGGTACATCTGTCCCTCATTTCTGTACTTGCTGGAAATATATGGAGGAAGGGGCTGTGTTGCATGGTGTCAGTGCTGGATTTAGGTATAAGCTAAACAAGCTACAGCTTAGGGCCCCACTCTCTTGGGGGGCTCAAAAAAATTTAAAGGAAAAAAACACCTGGATGTACATTTCCAAAATATAAGATAAAAAGCAAATAAAATAAAACCTACATACAGCAGCAGTGTTTTGTGTTGTGTAGGCTCCTATGATGTAAGTCATGGTCCCCACCTGCTAGCCTGCTCCCTAAAATATCACTGGTTTGCTCATTTCTATATATAGGGTGCCTACATTCCACATGGACTGGTTGAATGGCAACATGCGCAAATGGCTTTAGATACCTATTAGGACCATAAATTGCCATATAGCATATATTCAACACAAAAAACAGGGACAATTTGTTGTTGGCAAAGGACAGCTGGACATATAAAGGGCCCCATTACCTTCAGTAGCTTAGGGCCTCATCAAACCTAAATCCGGCCCTGCATGGTGCAATGGGGGAGCATCAGAAGGCTTTATATTGAGCATCGTCTATTAAACTTGGAACCAATCTTGCCTGGAATAGTGAAAAAAACTCTTGCTGGGGAGTTTTTGAATCTGAATGAGTCTCAGTGAGGCAGCCACCAACATTTCTCTCTGTGGCCACACAGCATCTCCTGGGCCTCTTAATCTGTCCGCTGCCTTTTCAAAATGCTTTTTTCATTATAAGTTGCCTTTGCTTTCCTATTATGCAGTTTTAATTTATGGTTATTGTTTTCATGTAAACTGCTTTGTGAGGCTTTGTTGGCGAGTTTGGGACTACTGCTGAATAGTGGGGTAAAACAAAAACAAAATCTGGGGACCCCTGAATTGGGAGCCCCTTCTAGTTGGTTTCCCACAGCCACTGGATGTTAAAACTGTCCCAAAGTTTTGAGGGGTTTGCTCCACCCCAGGTCTCAGAACACATTTTGTGTAAATATCATCCACAGAAGCATTTTAGAGCATCTCCCTCCTCTTTTCTACAAACACCTGTAGCCCAAACGAGTGTACATGTTAGGGAATGGCAAGGTTATTTCAAAGAGGACAGGAGAAGATGCATATCCAGTATTAACTTGAATTTCTTTCATCTAGCCTCATTTCAGCTGAAAAACATAAAGGGTCTGCACATAAACTATGTCCAGAGCAGGCACAGGAGAATAGAACCAACCGCAGACCAGTTTATGGTTTATGCCACTGACGGGAAGCATCGTTCGATGGAGACACCGTTTTATGTATTGATCAACCCGACGAATGATGAAGTGCCAGAATTTGAAGCAAGGAATATTACAGTAAGGACTGAAATATAGTATGTTCCTCTGGTTGTTCCTTTCTCAAAGACAACATAGCTGGTCTTTACTTTTGCTTCCTCCCCATACAACTCTTCCAGCATATTCCATTTATTTATTTCCTTGCATTTATATCCTGCCTTTTTTCCATCATGAAGTCCATCATGTGATTCCCAGGAGATCAGCTATTTGGGCACTGATCAGATCAAGAGCTGCTTAGCTTTGGCAAGGTGGTGGCCTCATGTGCCTTCAGACCATCCTCTGGGAACACCATCTTTTATGCCTGGGTATCCAGTCAACCCCAAGTAAACCAGTGCACTATGCATGATTCAAGATGTTTTACTTTGAGTTTCTGGTTTCCTTGCAGCCCTCATCAACCCACATCTGCCTCTCTATCCTCTACGCCAGGCATGGGAAGCCTCCAACTTCCCTCAGCCCCAGATAGCATCGCTAATGGAAGTTGTAGCCCAACAGCACCTGGAGGGTCACAGTTTTCTCCAAGCTTGCTCTGGATTTATTCTGGTTCAAGACTCAGCTTCCCTATTCTTCATAGTCGCTTTCCATCACTTAGCTCTTCTGCTCCTTGCTACCTGTCCTGGTCCCTAAACATCACCTGGATGCTCTTTCTACCTCTTTGCCCCATTTTCTTTTCCTGCCCAATCTCCTATCCCTTGGCTCACATGTTTTTTATTTGCATTTGTTTTTTTAAAAAAATAAATTTATTTATTTGGTTTTTCAACTTGCAATTTTAGAGAAATATAACAAACATAAATAATAAAAACAAGTTTTCAAGGAATCTCTTGGACTTTCATCCTCCCCTTTGTGAGTCCTATTATTAATCAATTCCTCCCACATCTTTTATGATAATCCAAACACTTTACCTCTTCCATTATGTCCAGAATTCACCCTTAAACTACAAGTGATACTCCAATCCTACTAATGATTTTTAACTGTTTACAATGGTCTTTAAGATAAGTTATACATTTTCCCCATTCCTTATTAAAATATTGGTCTTTCTTCTGACTCTTCCAGTCTTTTTAGCCATTTCAGCATAGTCCATTAACTTCATCTGCCATTCTGCTCTGGTAGAAACTTTATCTTCTTTCCATCTCTGGGCCAATAATATCCACATAGCCGTGGTTGCATACATAAACAGCCTTTTCTGCTCCTTTGGGATTTCAGCACCTAGTATTCCTGAAAGGAAGGCTTCAGGCTTTTTAACAAAGGTTATTTTAAACATTCTTTTCAACTCATTATATTTCATTTCCCAAAATCCTTTTACTACCTTACAGTTCCACCATTTATTTGCATTTGTTTGCACAGCATTTTTAGAGGAATGGTGGTTGGAGCTGGGCAGTAGAGTTAGGAACATATGTCCAGGCAGACTATTTTGCATATATATATATATAATATATATATGTGTGTGTGTGTGTGTGTGTGTGTGTGTGTATATATATATATATATATATTACCAACAACCAAAACACAAACAGTGAAACCCCCCAGGGGGCTGATACATTGGGTATACATAATCAATGATAACATATTCAAATCAACCATATGTACAATTCTATATAAATTAACACTCCTCCCTCCACAAGGTTTATTTAACTTTTAACATTTTAATTGCCCCAAAGTGTTCAAACCTACCCAAATAATTCAATATCTTCTCAAACCAATCCTCCTTCTTCTCACTGACCTTAAACCCTTTCATTTTATGTATCTTCACAGATATTCTAAGATTATAATATTTTTCAGTCTTTTCCTCCATTGGTTCACCCCTAGCTCTTCTGCATTTTTCCAGTTACTCGCTATAACCTGTCTGGCTGCAATTACCATCAATTTTACCCATTTACATTCCTCTTTTGTTTCTAACTCGGTGCTACTCAGGCTAATAAGAACCATTAATTTAGATATTTCCACCTTCCTACCCACAATTCCTGATATTTCTATACCAGTCTGTTTCCAGAATTCATTAACCAACGGACAATCCCACCACATATGACTGTACGTTCCCATCACTCCACATTTCCTCCAACAATTCATCCAATAATTGTCTGCAATGAATGGTAGCCACTCTCCATGGTTTCAGACAGAGGTCTCTCCCAGCCTTACATGGAGAAGATAGGGATTGAGCCTGGGACCTTTGAGATGCATGCTTTGAGATACACCTTAACCTAAGATCAAGTGGACCAGCAAAATTTAATGATGGCTTATTGGAACAGACTAGATGAGCATCAGCAGGCTTACAAATTCCGTGTCTTATTATTCCCTCGTTCTGCAAAAGATTTCTGACTTGCCTTCCTTTGACCATTCAGGTGCAGGAGGGCCAGATGAAGGAACTGGATCCATCTGTAATCAGTGCTGTTGATCTGGACATACCTCAAGATCCCCTGATCTTTACTGTCCTCCGCCAACCCCAGCACGGCCTCCTTGTTAATGGGAATCATGGCAATGACATCATCCGCTATAAACATGTGACCGACAGTCACCAGCACCACGAACTTCCTGTACATGGGTTTTCCATGGAGCTTTTGAAAAATGGTAAATGCTCTCCCAGCCTGTTTGTCCTTCAGAACAGTTACAGCCAGATGGTGGGATAATAAGAAATATTCATGTTTTATTTCTGCACCTGATTCAAAGGTTGTCTTTTATATATCTATGGTTGTGTACACATCTACCCTGCACCCAGTGTACTCCCACTGTTTGGGAAGTGATGTACACATGTTAGCCCTGTACTTTTCCTGTACATATAGTTAATACATTTCCTATTTATACTGTCATTTCTTATTAAATGTTGTGTTTTTTGTTTTTAAAATTATTTTATTTTATTTTATTTTTTGAAATGCTGTGTTTTGATACATTTGTCTCCAAACAAGCTTTGAACCGGATTGAGGAAAAGCTGTATTTTAAGTTGGCGATGTGTACACAGCCTCTCTCTGAGAAAATCATATTTAAACTACAGTACTATGCACATTTGCATGGGAATAAGTTTCATTTAATTTGCTAGGATTTTTTCTTTTCTTTTACTGAATAAAGGATGCTTGATAGGATCAGGCTACAAATCTGTTTAAGATATGAAAACAGTTCAATCATATGTTTACTCAGAGTAAAATACAGTAAATTCGGTGGGAATATGGCCCTCAAACTCAGCGAGTCTCACATTTCAGCAGACTTGCATAAAACTACACTGTGAATGGCATTCAGGTCTTTCTGCAACCAAACGGATCAAGGGAGCTGGAGGACTTTTCTTACAAGGCTACAGATACTGGGAGTTAGTTTGGAAAATAGGTGGCTGAAGGCGGGGGGGCATTGTAATAATATGAAAGAATTGCTAGATGCAGCCTGAGTTGGCTGTGCAGAGGAAGGCCCTCTGCTTTTGGTTGTGAGAAGAGGAGTTGTCGAAAGACCAAGACTGCTCAATGAAACCATCAATCAACAAACCTTCAACATTTCTTTGTAAAGCAGAGCCTGATTTATAAAATAATGCTTGGCATAGCGAAAGCAGGCAGAGACTATGCTGGGGAGTCACAAGAGCCAGAAAGGAAGACAGGGCACTGACTTCTAGAGGCTGGACCCCTTTGAGCACCCCAACATTTGTTAGCTGAGCTGTCGCAATGTTCATCTGGGGGTTGGATGTGACATCACGAAGTCGGACGTGATGCCCAGATGCAACACCGTTGTGTGTGATGCCAGGGACACGATAGATCCTCTTCCTCCTCCTTTTAACACAGAGGGGAAGCAGCCCCCAGCCCATGATGGTGGCTGGAGGAGCAGAAGGCAGATGAGCCACCAGCCACGGAGGCCAAGCTGTCACACAATGGCATCACATCTGTCGTCCATGCATCACACACAATGTCAGCCCCCCTCCCCAATCTCCAACCCAAGTCATTGCATCTTCAGAAAGGTTTGTGTGCCAGAGCTTCACAACTTGTGTTCTAAAGTCAGGTCCACTGAGTTCAACGAAGCTTCCTCCAAATTAAGGTAAAAGAAAAAAAAGGTAAAGGGCCCCTGGATGGTAAATTCCAGTCAAAGGCAACTATGGGGTTGCAGCGCTCATCTCGCTTTCAGGCCAAGGGAGCTGGCATTCGTCCACAGACAGCTTTTCTGGGTCATGTGGCCAGCATGACTAAACCACTTCTGGCACAACAGGACACTGTGACGGAAGCCAGAGCGCATGGAAACGCCATTTACCTTCCTGCCACAGCAATACCTATTTATCTACTTGCACTGGTGTGCTGTCGAACTGCTAGGTTGGCAGGAGCTGGGACAGAGCAATGGGAGCTCACCCTGTTATGCAGATTTGAACCGCCAAACTTTGGATCGGCAAGCCCAAGAGGCTCAGTGGTTTACACCACAGTCCTTTTGGTGTGTGGGAACCCCTTTGGTTTCTTTCCATACTGCATTGGCTAACTGGGAAGAGCCACAGTGGGGCACCTCCCAACATTTTTATCAAATCACACTAGAGTAGTTGAAATATGGTTTCTAATTGTGCTCAAAAGGGAAAGTGAACATTTTTTAAATTTTACAGGGATGGATGAATGACAAAACAGATACATTCTTCTCTCTCTCTCTTTAAAAAAGCAGATTGTTTTCAAAGAAGCGTTATTAGTCAAGCAGGCCGTGATATGTGTTTTTGAGTCAATGGTGTGCTGATGGATTAATGAACAGCTGCTGTATTCAAGGCTTGTCCCATGCTAGTTGAAGCAAGCTGGCTGTGACCAGCAGACTTGTGGGGGGCGGGGAGCAGGATGGAAACAGTGGGAAATGATGTGAAAGAGATTTTGAGGGAAACCGATTAATTTTCCTCCCCCCTCTCCTTCTCCCCTCTCCCTCTCTCTTGTTACTGTCCCCTTCATCCCACCTTCCAGGAATGAGGCTGATGTATATGCATGATGACTCCGACAGCCTAGCGGATGGCTTTTCAATCCAGCTATCAGATGGGAAACATAAAGTGTCAAAAACCATTTCGGTAGAGGTCATTCCAGTTAATGACGAGAAACCAGTGCTGAGCAAGTAAGCCACATGTTCATGTTCCAATTTGGTGCATGTGTTCTGACAAAGTGATTCAGCAGTGATCACAACAGCAAATTAGTGATTAATAGAGCTCATCTCTTGTAAATAACCACAGACTAATGCCAACAGCGCTCCACAAAAACAATCCTTGGTGAAGGACGTTCTGTTATGAGCAGAGAGAGCAATGTAGCCAAATCTGAATCCGAGGTACCTACAAACAGAGATACACAGCTTGTATGTACAAAATAACGCACGCATATACATATATGGTATACAAATCAAAGGCAATGAGTTTACAATGTTTGCACCCTCTGGTGGTCATTCCAAACTTTGACTCAGACCTTTTCTCCGCTGTAGTTTTCTATCTGGGTTACTCTGACCATTTCAGTTTCTATCAGTTTCTCATTTAAAGTTGAGTTCTCCACATTTCCAGGCAAATTTGTGTTTTTTCCATTTTCCATTTTAGTGCAAACATCTCCCAATATAGGCATTTGTGCCTAATATATAACTTTGTGCAAAGCAACCTCAATATATGCATTTCAAGCATACTTTACTGCTGTATATGCATTATTATTTTTTTACACATCACGTGACCAGGGAAGTGCAAATTTAGAAAGGTGACTGTGTTTCAGTCTGTGTATTGCTCTGGAAAGGGCAAATTATGTAAGTTCACCTTCAAATGCAATTGGATTTCTCCTCTATCCCTAACTCCTCATGTCATTGTATGAACTGGGCCATAATTTAGGATATCAGTACTGTATTTGAAGACCTCATTCTTCATTTGTATTAACAGAATGATGCCTTGCTTGCTTGAAATCTGTGTGGGGTGTGTGTGTTCTCTGAGTGATTCTTCCTCTCATTATTTCTGTAATTATCCTCCTTTTCAACAAATAACATGATGGATCCTTTGTTTGTTTGTTGCAGGAAGGGTAAGATAGAGGTGACTATGGGCGAAGCCCAAATTATTTCTAGTGCTGTTCTGTCAGCTGAAGATAAAGACACCCCAAGGGAACAAATTTATTATTTATTTGAGAGTGTCCCAGAAAATGGACATCTTCAGCTCAAGGTCAGTTTTTGTATTTCTACAAAAACCAAACAAAGTATTGCTTGGGGGAGAGGGGAAAGGAAGAACCCAGACTTATTGGGTTAGAATAGGAATCAGTGTAATCCTCCTGTTTCTTAATAGTCTCTCATGGCTTGAAACACATTGCAGTGCCTAAGATAATTTCCACTCTGATCCTTCGAACAATCCAGTAGTGGATGTTCTGTTCACATCAGTGGAACTTCTGCCAGCAGAGTTGTTTCAGATGAAGTTGATTATAGGAAGTGTGAAGAACACGCACCAGGGCTCTTGTTCTTTTTAATTCTGTGTGTGCCAAATATGTAAAGGTAAAGGGACCCCTCACCATTAAGTCCAGTCTTGGACGACTCTGGGGTTGTGACGCTCATCCCGCTTTACTGGCCGAGGGAGCTGGCGTTTGTTCACAGACAGCTTCCAGGTCATGTCGCCAGCAGGACTAAGCGGCTTCTGGCGAACCAGAGCAGCGCATGGAAACATTGTTTACCTTCCCGCTGGAGCGGTACCTATTTATCTACTTGCACTTTGACATGCTTTCGAACTACTAGGTTGGCAGGAGCCAAATATGTACCCCTGATTATATTTTCAGAACTATATAATTGACCAAGGCCACAATGGCTATGTGGAGGGTGGTGCTATGGTCTAAACCACTGAGCCTCTTGGGCTTGCTAATCAGAAGGTTGGTATTTCGAATCCCCGCAATGGGGTGAGCTCCCTTTGCTCTGTCCCAGCTCCTGCCTACCTAGCAATTCGAAAGCACGCCAGTGCAAGTAGATAAATAGGTACCGCTGTGGCAGGAAGGTAAACGGCGTTTCCGTGTGCTCTGGTTTCCGTCACAGTGTCCCGCTGCAATAGCAGCAGTTTAGTCATGCTGGCCACATGACCCAGAAAGCTGTCTGCGGACAAACACAGGCTCCCTTGACCTGAAAGCGAGATGAGCGCCGCAACCCCATAGTTGCCTTTGACTGGACTTAACTGTTCAGGGGTCATTTACCTTTTTTTTACCAAGGCCACAATGGCTATGTGGAGGGTGGTGCTATGGTCTAAACCACTGAGCCTCTTGGGCTTGCTGATCAGAAGGTTGGTATTTCGAATCCCCGCAATGGGGTGAGCTCCCTTTGCTCTGTCCCAGCTCCTGCCTACCTAGCAGTTCGAAAGCACGCCAGTGCAAGTAGATAAATAGGTACCGCTGTGGCAGGAAGGTAAATGGCTTTTCCGTGTGCTCTGGTTTCCGTCACAGTGTCCCGCTGCAATAGCAGCAGTTTAGTCATGCTGGCCACATGACCCAGAAAGCTGTCTGCGGACAAACACAGGCTCCCTTGGCCTGAAAGCGAGATGAGCGTCGCAACCCCATAGTTGCCTTTGACTGGACTTAACTGTTCAGGGGTCATTTACCTTTTTTTTACTTTTCTACAGTGGCTAAGGACAACAGTAGGGATAGCCAGTAAGGGGCACTCCAGATACTGTGGACTACAGCTGCCATCATCCTTGAACACTGGCCGTGCTGGCTGATGGGAGTTGTAGTCTAGCCAACCAAGTTGGCTTCTCCTGGGCTATGCTTTATAAACTGGGGCAGAAAGTCTTTTATCCTGCTTCCCCTCAAGGGCAATTTATGTGGCACTGGGTAGGGCTGGAATCAATGCTAGGCAGGGTTAGAGCCAAAAGTGAGCAGGGTCACAGTTGAATGTGGACAGGACACCTACCCCTTCCCCTTCCCCTTTGTTTTTCTTCCTTGTCATTCGCATGAAATTAGGCCAAGGTGTTGTTGGTCCCTGACCCCTGGCTTATAAGGTCTCGTCACTAGCATTACACACAGCTGATCACTAAAATAGTATTTCTTATGTTTAGTGACAGGGGTTTTTTTGTTTGTTTGTTTGTTTTAGGTAGGCCATGACTGGGAGACACTCCAAAATGGGATGAAGTGCACTCAGAATGACATAGACATGAACTCTGTGAGATACATACACACCGGAACAATTGGCTCAAAGGAGCAGGACAGTTTTGTGTTTCATCTGTGGGATGGAGACAATAGATCACCAGAGGTGGTTTTCCCTATTACCATAAAAGACTTGGAAAAAGGTATATCTATATCTAATCTTCACATGTAAGGCAAGATTCCTCCTAGTATTTTTTTTCCCTAAGGAGCAGCTCATACTTGATCTTGTATATGGGTATGTACAGGGCTTTTTTCCAGCCATAACTCAATTCCCGCAGATCTCAGATAAGTGCCATTGCTATTATAAGAGAACAAGAGTGGCGTTCACGCTGAATTCCAGCACCTCTTTTTCCAGAAAAATGGCACTGGGTATGTATGAATTTAGGTCCAAGCAGGCCCTTGATAGCTTCACACATTCACAGTGATCTAATTCTATACAATCACAAGTATTGTACAAACTTTACGCTTATTACAAACAAGGTTGTAAGAAGGCATCAGTTTCCATTCCAACCCATGTTCTTCACGAACAGTCCTGTTTCTGTTCTGCTGCAGTTCAGCTTCAAACCAAAACTACATTATTCATCTCATCGTCTACGGTAGCAGAATTTTACATACTGTAATTAATTATTAGTTTACACCGTTCATTTCAATGCACAGGAAACACACTGCATTTTGGGGTGAGGAGTTAATCAATTATATGTTGATAGCAGCAAATACCTTTCATATTCAGTGGATTGATTTCCATTCTGGTCATGGGGCAAATAAATGAACACCTGCAATTTATGCTCCTGTTTCTATTTCCATCAGAATTCTAGGGGGCCCCCAACCCTTCAGAATACATTTCAACGGGGAGGATTAATCAATAAAAGTCACATTCTTCCTTTTCTGCTCATGGGAACATCTTGTGAATGGAATTTCATTCAAGGAGCACTCCCACCAGCAGAAGCCTAGTAAGAATCCAAACCAAAAAATATCGTTAATATTTATGTTCCATGTGTCCTATAGGAAACATTGCAGTTTTCACAAAGCCCCTCACTGTGATGAAGGGCGACAGAGGCTACTTGACGACTGACATCCTCCTTGCAGTCGATGGCACTGAGAAGCCGGAGGAGATCCTCTATGTGATAACCTCCCCACCTCAGTATGGACAACTTGAGTATGTCACCTATCCTGGAGTTGCCATTACAAGTTTCAGCCAAATGGATGTGGCAGGCCAGGCCATCTGCTATGTCCACCATAGCAAGGCAGCTTCTCCAAGGGATGCGTTCAGGTAAGCAGTGAAAATTTTTTTGCTTTCCTTAATAAAATTAGCATCAAGATTGGAAGTAGGAATAGTCAATGCATGGCAGGAGGTGGTCAGCATTCTCCTTTTGGGCATGACATCTTCATGCAAAGAGATTCATGTTTGATCTAAGGTGGGGTGAAGAACTTCTGGCCCTCCATATGTACCAGGTTAGCACTTCTCTCACACAAGACACAAAACGCTGGCAGTTTTACAAGTTGAGGTTTATTAGCAATAACAGGCTTACAGCAATCCAAGCTTCCCACAACTCATTGCTCACTGTCAGCGTCAGTTGACTCGACTGGCTTCCAGCCCTTCCCAAGGCCAGATATACGCCAGGCCCGTCCTGCTTCCTGTTGGTCTTCCTTTGTTCTAATCGCTTGCTCCGCCTCCTACTTCTTGGAGATTCAGGTGCAGCCAATTCCTCCTCCTCTGGGGGGGGGGGGGCTTATCTCACTTTCGTTGTGTGAAAGAATCAAGTTCCTGTTTTCCTCTGCCTCTTCCTCCCCCTCTGCCGACCATGACTCTGACAATATGTTGTTTGACACCAGTTCCCATCAGCCTCAACCAATGTGGCCAGGGGTCAGGGATGAGGGGAGCTGTAGTCTGAAGGGCCACCAGTTTCCCACTCCTCATCTAAAATAAGAATAGCACTTGAACAGTTCCCTGCACCGCATGGGAAATAGTTACCATTGTCTTTGTGGTCTAAGGAGTTGTCCATAATGGGAAAGTGGTATATACATAAACGGATTGTGTGTTAACATTTTAGTTGTCTCCTAAAAGCACACATTAAAAATATGGTATAACCGAGCTCATTTGGAACCTACTTTCTAGGTTGTTAATTATTCTCATAGGTCGCCCATGAACCCTTTCTAGGGCATCAGCATTATTGCCCATAAGTAAATGAAGTTTCACCTAGCTGCACCACTAATTTGGCTTCTCAGTTTCTGCACTCAGTTTTAAAGCTGGAAGAAAAATTCAGAATGTAACATAATCCTGGATCTCCTTAAACACCAAGACTTTGCAAATAAAGTTGGTGTGCATGCTCAGGGCAACATTTTGGGTGGTATTCAACTACGTTTTACTGACAATAGACCCATTAAATTAATGGACGTGAGTAAGTTAGACCCATTTGTTTTTATGCATCTGCTCTGAGTAAAACTTAGTTGAATATCACCCACTGCCTTGCAAACTACTTATTCCCGTATCTTGATTCAGGCAACACATTTAAGATTATTTTTCTGTGGTTTGGAGAGATATTTTAATTTAATATAGTGTAATGAGGTATTTTAACAATTTGAAATTCTTTACTTAAACTCGTTGATTAGGCGGTTAAAAAGCAGAGACATTGATTCATGAAACAAATTTGTATCTATCGGCAGTTCAGTGTCGATTTGCTGTCCTCATCTGGGATTTTGCTTTTTTTAATTAATTAGTAAACTGGGGAAAAGCCAGATTCTGGATTCACACCATTGTTTTCGTTCCAGTTTAACTAAGATGGTACATATTCATGTTCATATGCATAGATGCATAGATGTAGCTACCAGTATGATTATGTGTGTGTGTTTATACATACCTATAGTTAAATTTGTGTGACATTGCTTCTAGACATGCCCAGAGTGTTATGCCCAGACCAGACACACTTTGACGAGGTATTTTAATGAAATGAAGATATACGTGTCTGTTTCAATCACTGTAAAATGATGTTCCTGGCTGTTCGAATTTGGCCAAGCAGTTGGTTATATATTGAGATATAAATACTGTGGCAGATTATTAAAAAATAAAACACCAAGGGCTGGTGACATTTAATTAAATGAGGGTTTAAATGATCAGATTTTTACCGTCCGTTAAGGCACTTTATTTCATCATAAACCTCACAGCATTGTTTGATGCTGCTGGCCTGGAAGAAGGATTTGGCAGTGCTTGTTTTGGACAGATGACTTCAAGTGATTAGCAATCTGACATCAGACGCTGGCAGCAGGATGCTAAAAGAACATGCTAATGTCCTCCATTTTGACACGGTGGATCAGTTTTGTAATAAGCTGGCACTATCTCCTGATTCCATTTTTATATTTTAAATGCCATGACAGATGGTAAGTCCTGCAGCCAGCTCTATTGCCATGAACTAGAGAAAGCCTGAAAACCTTGGTAATGGTGAAATCAAGTCACGTGACTCAGCCTCCTAACTAAGCTTGAGAGTTATCCCCCAAAAAAAAATTTCATCAGAGTGATGAGAATGTTGGCTGCTTCCCATTCCTGAGGGAAACGTGGAACAGAACTAAACATGGAATAAACAACACGCTGGAAGAAAGGGGCATGGTGTTTCCTTGAAACAAACAACCTCATTGTCTGGGGGGACCTAGCAATGCACACCATTTGCATGGCAATTACTAGCCTGCCTTTGAAAGTTGGACCACAGATAATCTATCCTCATGTGCTGAACTGCTTGCTAAGTCCTTTACCTTACTCGGGTTTGGGATGAATATATCTGTGGGCCTTTCTAAAGCAAGAACCTAATAAATCTTTAGTATTAATATTTTTGCATCATGCACTAGCACTATATAGGCCATATGGCAATTCTTTGGGGCAGCAGAACTCCAAGGTCTCCAGACTGCTTAGGGGTGTATTCTGTGGCAAATTGCCACCGCAGTCCTTTAGGGCAACATGGTCTGAAGTATTTTATCCTGGTGTCATCTCCTTTTTTATTCATTCCATTCAACTGTGTGGGCAAACTTCCATTTGTTTGTAGGGAATAGGAAAGTGCATCTTCAGTCAGGAAAACCTTTCAGGAGAAAGCACAGTTCATCCCTCTGCTTACAAGAACAGTGGGTGGAAGTAATTTTTGTTGATGGTAGGAAAGTCACTTAACAATTTGGTCTGACGCTTGAGTATCATCTTCCCTCTTCACCCTCAAAATTCACAAAATGCCCTTACAGAGTGGTACATTGGTTCTTGAACTTAATTCATTCGACTCCCAAAGCATTCAAAAACCAAGGTGAGTCGGACGTTTGGCTTCCAAAAGACGTTCGAAAGCCGGAACACTTAATTCTGGATTTTTGGCATTCGGAAGCCGATTTGTTCAACAACTAAGCCGTTTGTGAACCAAGGTATGACCACATCCACAGCATTGCTTTCATTCCAGCTGAAGCTGTGATATAACTAAACTGATGACAGGACATCCGTTTTACTGCTGGAACAAACATTAGGTCAGTTCAGGCAGCTGCTGCAGTTTTTCTCAGGTGGGAATATATTTACCTTCGGTAAATATATTTCTTACTCTTATAAATCATCAAGCCTGCCTGCTCTTTTCCCCATCCATTCGATGGCATAATGCCTACACACATTGGTCACCTCTGAATCATCAGTGGAAGTTTTAAGGATAGTAACCTGAATATCAGCAGTTTCTCAAGCCAAGAGGTCACAAACTCTACATCAAGAATCAGGCACACGACCCCAATGGTATCAAGGCTTTTCTGACCTCAAGGGTTCTAGCTCTGGCCTTTGACCTAGGGCTAAGGTGAAATAAGTGATTCAAATATTCATTGGTTTGTATATATGAACAAAATGCCTGCGGCTCAATGCACATCCCAATTAAGAGTTGTTCTTGTCTCAAAGGCACTCAGATAGGAGAGCTGAGGAAGACCCCTCCTGCCTGCTGTGACCTTGAAGGCCTGTTGCCAGGCAGCTTTTATTTTTATACAAAATAATAGTTCATTGGAGAGAGGAAACTTGGCTGACAACGGTTGCAGACTTTAAATCAACATTCTATTTCTAAATATATATATAAAATTAAAAAATTGCCCAGTAGCACCTTAGAAACCAACTAAGTTTGTTCTTAGTATAAGCCATGGGTAGGCAAACTAAGGCCCGAGGGCCGGATCCGGCCCAATCGCCTTCTAAATCTGGCCCACAGACGGTCCAGGAATCAGCATGTTTTTACATGAGTTGAATGTGTTCTTTTATTTAAAATGCATCTCTGGGTTATTTGTGGGGCCTGCCTGGTGTTTTTAATGAGTAGAATGTGTGCTTTCATTTGAAATGCATCACTGGGTCATTTGTGGGGCATAGGAGTTTGTTCAATTTTTTTTTCAAAATATAGTCCGGCCCCCCACAAGTTCTGAGGGACAGTGGACCAGCCGGCCCCCTGCTGAAAAAGTTTGCTGACCCCTGGTATTAGCTTTTGTGTGCATGCACACTTCTTCAGTTACACCAAGAAGTGTGCATGCACACAAAAGCTTATACCAAGAACAAACTTTGTTGGTCTCCAAGGTGCTACTGTGTGTGTGTGTGTGTGTGTGTGTGTGTGTGTGTGTATTGACTGCATCAGACCAACATGGCTACCTACCTGAATTATATTTCTAGTAGATCATGTGCAATTGCATACCCTCCAAGTGTCTCCATTTTCCAGGGACAGTCCCAGAATTACAAAAGCCATATTGGCTTCCAATTTGATCCCGGAATGTCCCTATTTCCCCTGCCAGTGCCATCTCTGCTGAGCTTGGGGTGGAGGATGAGCCGACGCTTTTCCCGATTGGCAGCAGTGGTGGCAGCGGCTGCCTCTTCATATTCTTCCCATGGCCATTGCTGCTGGCCTCCTCCCTTGGGCAGCTCAGAGCTGTGTTCGTTTATCAGTTACGCTTCAACATTTTGAAACAAGAGTTGAACACCATAAAAGTGGCATGCCAATCCTTAAAGTAAACAAACACTTCCACGGCAATTTGGGGTCACTGAAAAGAAACATAACAGAATACTGAAACATGGGTGCAATGACGTATCTGCATCCTCATAACCATTCCCACAACTTGCAGTCCATTTATGCAGTTGGTTTGATCATAAATCATTTGAATGCTGTCTCTTAAGTTCACAGACTTTGTGTCTATGGGGGACACAAAGAGACTGGGGGTCTTGATATGTTCTCAGAGTAACCGAGAGGCAAACCCTTTAGTAAAGGTGTCTGTTATATTTCATTTCAGTAGATGGTGAAACAGGAACACTTGCCTCTTTTTGCCAGATTCATCGTCAGCAATGGGCTAAGGACAAAACACGGAGAGTTTGAGATCATCCTGGAGACAGTGGACCAAGCCTTACCCACAGTGGCCAAGAACAAAGGCTTGACCTTACTCGAAGGTGGCATTGCATTCCTTTCTCCAGACATTCTCCAGCTCTCAGACCCAGACACAGATCCGCAAAACCTCTCCTTTCTCCTAGCACAGCTCCCACAGTACGGCCAGCTCTTCAACAGAAAGTCTGGCCTATGGCAGCAAAGCTTCAGCCAACAAGATGTGGACAATCTGAACATTGCTTATAGACATGGAGGAGGGGATTCTCGGATTGACAGATTTACATTTGTGGCAACAGATGGAGTGAATGAAGGCTTCATAGTAAATAACAAGGTGCAACTAGAGCCCTTGGCGTTCAGCATCCAGGCAAGTTCCTGCACACACACACACACACACTATTGTCTTTAGCTTCATTTTGATGCAGGTTTTAGGATTCTAACGTGCTGTATTTTATTCTGTTTTTTTTAAAAAAAACAAAACAACAACTATCCCAGAAGCACTACAGAATGTTGATAGATATGTTCTGTAGAATAAAGAAGTAAACAATGTCCCAACTTTTGACTGTTAGCTATTCCATTTCCATACTTTTTATTAATTTGTTAAAATATTGGTATTGACAATTTTTGAGATAAAATACAATAAGAATCAAACTAGTCTACAGAACGAGAATATTTTTTTAAAAAGAGATAGAAAGAAAGAAAGAAAGAAAGAAAGAAAGAAAGAAAGAAAGAAAGAGAAAACAGAAATAAAGAGGAGGAGGGAAGAAAATACGGTACCTGTAAGGCCCTTTACCATATTACATCATATATATCCTGTCATTTATCCACATACAGAGAGGTAGATTCTCCCATCTCCCACCTGGGAGCCTACATCATCTCCCAGTCTCTCACCCTGGGAGACCCTTTCTACCCTGCCTTTCATGTAGGGACTCCCCTCCTCCAACTGTCCCCTTCCTGTTTGTGTCCTCAGTCCAAGGCAAATGACTTCTTTCCCCCACCCAAATACATACAATTGGCAGATAGAGATGTGCAAGTACATCTCTGTTTTTCCCTTCTTTGTTTTTCTTCCTTCTTTTATCCTTTTAACTTTGTCCTGTATGTTCTCTTTCTCTCCATTTCTCTTTCTCTTGTTTTCCCTTTGTATTTTTACTATTTTGTATTGGGAACATTCCTACTTCTCTATCAATGAGGATGTCTTGAACTGCTTGTATGCCAAATGAAGTGTTTTATGTTGCCTTGATTTTTGCTGTCTTCTTTAGCCCCCTTCATGTGTGAATTGCATAAAAGGGCATCAACTGTAGATGGTGGTTAAGGGACTGTGCTTCTGTCTCTGCTCATTTCCCAATGCCCACACATTAGACATGGATGTTTAACATGAAAAGCCTGTGTGTGTGAACTTTAGGTATCCAAGCTCACAGTCATACAGGCTTTGAGAATGTGTGAAGAAATGGCACATCCACTTTTCCCCATGGTAACATATGGATGTTGGGGGAGGAACTGAGAAGCCACATGAATTGGGGCATGGGGCTAGAGACATAGGCTCTTTCTATGCCCCTTCACATGATTCTTGCATGAAGGGGGCTTTTCATCGTAAGCATACATACACAAAGTTGTAGTAGTTTGCACGCCTTAGATTGCATATATCTCAAGTTTCAGTGTTCTAGGACTTATATAAGCTAATTCATCAAACTGGTTTGGGTTTAAACCCCTGTTTTGATTACATGTATGACTTCAAAAAGTAGAGCCTTGGCTATAAAAGTGCAAGGGTAAGGGAGTGTGTTGCTCCTTCCTTCCTTCCTTCCTTCCTTCCTTCCTTCCTTCCTTCCATCAATATCTAACCTTTGATCAGTAATAAGGTAAAGGTAAAGGGACCCCTGACCATTAGGTCCAGTCGTGACCGACTCTGGGGTTGTGGTGCTCATCTCGCTCTATAGGCCGAGGGAGCTGGTGTTTGTCCGCAGACAGCTTCCGGGTCATGTGGCCAGCATGACTAAGCTGCTTCTGGCGAACCGGAGCAGCACACGGAAATGGCGTTTATCTTCCCGCCGGAGCGGTACCTGTTTATCTACTTGCACTTTGACGTGCTTTTGAACTGCTAGGTTGGCAGGAGCAGGGACCAAACAACGGGAGCTCACCCTGTTGCGGGGATTCGAACCGCCGACCTTCTGATTGGCAAGTCCTAGGTTTAACCCACAGCGCCACCCGTGTCCCAATCAGTAATAGTGAGCATTAATTTATTGTTTTAGGTGGACAGCCCAGCCAAAGCAGCACCAGAAATTGTCCACCTTCGTGCTGCTTCAGACGTAGAACTTCTGAAAAATGGCAACTTTGGTATTTACATTACTTCCCGGGCCCTGAAGGCATCAGATTGTGATGGAGATGATGAACAAATAATTTTCAAGATTTTGCGAGGACCTCAGTACGGCTACTTGCAAAATATAACAACAGGTATAGTATTATTTCCCCTTTCCACATAGTTCACAAGATACATTGTGTTGGGTAGTATTGCAATTGATCCTTCTAAGCAGACTTGTTACAGAAGAAGTTTCCTGGAAACTTTATTTTGGGAGAAAATGTCAGAAAAGCAGACGGAAATAGACCTCTGCAGAAAAGTGTGTAGGCCCCAAGTTTGTGGGAGTCATTGATTCTTTTCATAACCTAGTTATTTCATTTTGCTGTATAAGCCAGATATATTCTATGAACTCAGAGCGGGACTCAGAAATTCATACGATTCCTTCCTAAAAAGCAGAAACCACATTTGCAGTGTATGTTGGCTTTTTAATCAAAGTAGTGTGGGACTTAAAAAACACACACAAAAGACCTCTTCAGATGTTACAAAAAAGTTACTACATGATGAAAAGGCAGCCGTGGCAAGTGTGTTAGCTTCACACACAGCCTCTCGCCGTTTTTGTTGCCTTCTGCAAGTTGTAGTGCAACTACCAGCAGCAAGGAACCTCTTGTATTTGTGGAGACTCCCTGCATGTTGTGGGACCCTGTAAAAATCAGGGCTCTCAATTGTGCATGGAGCCCTGGGGCTCTCTGTGGCAAGATGGTTGTCTTCCAACTCATGGAAGGCGACAAAAACGGAAGCAGAGGTAGCACATTCACACACACACACATCATGTGGTAACTCACCAATTTTCATAACACCTGAAGAGCACTGGCTTGCCACGCAACATGGTGCCGTGTTGTGTGCAAGCCACATGGCTTGCACGTGTGATGTGAGCATGCCATGCAGCATGCACAAGTGATGTCAGAATGTCGCACGGCATGCATGCCCATTGTGTGCACATCACCGCAGAATATTGAAGGGCCCAGCCCCCTCCTTGAAAATTTTGAGGGGCTCTCCCCCCTCCCCCAATGTCACCCTTGACCATAAGGTGCAAGTGTTAGGGGAAAAATACTGTGAAGGCTTATGGAATTGTATGTGTTAGATGCATCTGAAGACTTCAGGTGCTGTGGTAGGGCCAGGCCTACCATTAGACAGAGTGAGGTGGTTGCCTAAGACTGGGATATAATGAAGGAGCAGGAAATGGTCAATTATTAAATTTATTGTTGTTGTAGGGTAGAGGGGGTTGCTGCCAGGGAGCAGATGGTGCGGTTCTGCCTCAGGTGCCAAAATAATTTGAACGTGTTTTAAGTACCATGCCCCTTGACTTGGGAGTGGCAGAAACACTGTTTGCTCAGGGTATCTCAGGCACCAAGATGGCTGGGGCCATCCTTGGGCAAAGGGAATAATAGTAAAGCACCCAGACCCAGCTCAATTGAAGATTAGCTGAAGATATGCCTCAGTGCTTGATAAAGTGAGAGTCACCTCCAGTTCCTCAGGGCCCCTTAATATGGCAAGTTATACAGTGGTGCCTTGGGTTAAGTACTTAATTCGTTCCAGAGGTCCGTTCTTAACCTGAAACTGTTCTTAACCTGAAGCACCACTTTAGCTAATGGGGCCTCCCGCTGCTGCCGCGCTGCCAGAGCACGATTTCTGTTCTCATCCTGAAGCAAAGTTCTTTACCCGAGGTAATATTCCTGGGTTAGCGGAGTCTGTAACGTGAACCGTATGTAACCTGAAGCGTACATAACCCGAGGTACCACTGTATTGTTTTGTTGGGTATAGTGGATTGATGTCACATTTCTTCATTCATTTTCTCAGGTGGATTTATTCAGCATGAATTCAGTCAGAAGGATTTAAAGAGCAAAACCATACTTTATGTTATTGACCGTTACTGGGAGGGGAATTCAGAAGACCTGGAGATTCAAGTTACTGATCCTGAAGGAAACTCTGCAATGCCTCAGATGTAAGTTAGAGCTTCCTTTCTCCGAACACTTGCATTGCTCATAGCATTTGTTGTTTGTTTCCTCCCTTAAGTCAGGTCACTTGCTGAAGGTTTTGAAGCAGAGACCTTTTACTGGGTCACAGGTTTGTGCGGCAGGATTCTTTACAGGAGCTAGAAGGAAGCAGTTAGGAAAAATAATTGTAGTCCTTTAAAAAAATCTAGAAAAAGAATTGTCTGGGGAGTTGGTGCTATGTTGGCTCTTAGTGATTATGTACATTATACTTAGGACTTTTACGACATTCAAAATGTTCCACATTTATTAACCTGTTATCCTTACAAACAATTCTGTGAGGATGCCAGGCTAGGAGAAAGCGGTGTGTTGCGGTAAAAGTTGTCAGAGAAAACATTTATGCGACTATAAATGGCAGAAAATAGGTAAATGTGACATTTTACTGTTGAAGTAAGATGAAGACTTTTGAAATACACAGAACTGTTGTTATCAGAGTTTACATACTTGTTCAAGAAAGTCTATCAGCTTTATGTATTTAGTTTTTCTCAAAATTAGAAAAGTATTTGGCATTATCTAACATGGCCTTACACCTTCAACCTTGGAATCTGTTTTCATTACTGGAGATTGATCCTGAAACTTGGAAGGGAAGATGAGAAGAATATCATTGGGCAGTCACAAACCATCTTTCCTGAATCATCTAAACTTCTGAGATTAAAGAGAAGGATTTCAGAATCAGATGATTTCACTTCTGGAAAGCAGTCTTAACATTTCACATTTGTGAAAAGAGCCTGTACTTAAGTATACAGTGATATTTTCAGTTTGCACAAATATGCAATGGATTGTGGCATAACACCAATCCATCATGTTTCCTTCCTTTTTTTCATTTTCACAGTGTATATGCAAGCATTCAGATTTAGGAAGGTTTATCCTCTTTTCTTACTTGTTGACAAGACACACAGTCTTCACGGTAGCAGAGAAAGGCTGGCAAGCTATTTGCCCGCTGTGAAATATGACAGAAATAATACTAATGATAGCAATTATTAGTTATATATGTGCTTGTAAGATGGGAAGTTTGACTGTAAATTAAGCACATTCCATTGCTAAATTGTGCATGCAGAAAATTGCATCTAGATGCAGCTTTCTACAGCTAGAGGTCACTCTAGATCTGGGTTGGTAACATGTCCCAAATATATGGAATAATTTTCAGTGAGTTTTTTAAAAACTTCACATAACAAAAGGGTGTAAGCTATGTGATGAAATATCCCTCCAAACTCTTTCTTCCCTCTAATAATGTTTAACTAACTGCTGCCTGCAAATGCTCTGTTTATGACAGTGGTGGCAAATAAAAAAGGGAGCCGTACAAATCCAATTGCGGCACAAGTAATTTGAGTGGGTGTGTAGAACAGCATGAATCTAAGAAATAATCCCGCGGGTCCTAGGACATTTTGAGTTGCATTAGCGCCACATCTGGGGGACGCTTGCTTGTTTAAATGTTCCCAATTTTCATTCTTCCGAGAAGATCAATGCAACATCCATACTGGCTCAGAGTTAAGCATGCTGCACATCTGTTTGGTCTTGTGCTTTATTTTAAGTAGAGACAACTTTACAACCTCTTGGGCTGCTTGGGTGCATTTCTATAAATACCGTTTACTCTCTTTGGTTTACGCTGCACCGATACTATGGTAAGTATTAGACTCAGATGGTGGGGAGCCTCCTTCTTCCTATTTTTAAAATCTGATATACTTCCACTCAAACAAACAAAAATTGGGCATGCAGTTCTGTTTTGTGTGCGAACCTTTTTTCTTTTTGCTGTTCTTTTCTTTTTACTTGGAAGGGTTTTGTTTTTTAAAAAATACAATTTTATTAGTTTTAACATACAAATTATAAAACATACCACAGAAATTATTACAAATACAATCTTATTGGACTTCCATCAGCACCTCTGATGATCCTCCATCTTATACCCTTCTTATGCATTACTTAATTTTATATTGCCTTTACCTTTCTTAACCTATCATCTCCTTTTCATCATTTTAACAATATTTCCATAATATTCTTCACAGAACTTCCTGCAAACCTACAAACGTCGTTTGATCATCACAAATACTTTTCATATAATTCGTAAATTTACTCCAGTCTTCGGTAAATCTCTGGTCCCGTCGGTTTCGGATCTTTCCTGTTAGCTTGTCTAATTCTGCATAGTCCATTAATTTCATTCTCAATTATTCAATTGTTGGAAGGGTTTTAAATCATATCAGATCTTTTAGATACTAAATTTAGTGTAACTGAACCAAGCTTTCTGGAGGAGAAACCTTGGTGGATATAACCAGGGCATTTTTTCCAGTTCCGGCACCTCTCAGGTGGGTACCATTGCCATTTTAAGAGAACAAGAGAGAAGGTGTTCATGGTGAGTTCTGGCAACCCTTTTCCTAGAAAAACAGCACTCAAGCATTTGTTTTGGGGGCACATGGAAATGGTGATGTGTAAAGAATTCACTTCCGTTCCATAACTGGCCACTAGATGACTCTGCATTCAGCTTTTCAAAAAGTATTGCTAACCTATAAATGAGGAATAGTGACTTTGCTCCAAACTGTTGAGATCTTACAGGCAGTTCCATATGTGGGGTGCAGGTGATATTTATGCCTCAGGTTTCATCCAACAGAAGTTGCTGTCCAGAAGCTTTTTAATCAATGGGAAGCCATAGATTCTGAGCAGCCTACTGGTGCCACAGGGAGTAGAATGATTGGAAACTGGATTCAGACAACTCGTCCATCAGTATTGTCAGTATTGTTTACACTGGATGGCAGTATCCCTTCAGGATTTCAGATAAAGGTAGCATGTGGCACTTTCATATGAGAGTAGGAAGGCCTTTGAGTCTGACTATTGCACATTGCTGCCTACTTTTACAATGCTATTCTCTTGCCTGTCTCAGCAGAGTGGAGGTTATCATCATCATCATCATCATCATCATTATACCCCATCCATCTGGCTGGGTTTCCCCAGCCACTCTGGGCAGCTCCCAACAGAATATTAAAAGCACAGTAAAACACCAAACATTAAAAACTTCCCTAAACAGGGCTGCTTTCAGATGTCTTCTAAAAGTCAGGAGGCACCAGGGTCTCTTTCTCCAGCAACAGGAGGAGAACCCAGCCATAGAAGCTGTGGCTCCACACTCAGCCTCCTCTGCCCCCTGAACATTGGGGGAGGGTCTCTTCCTCAGCCAAATTATTAGCCAGGGCCCAAAAGAGCTCAGCAAGTTTGCGTGTTTGCCCTACATGCCTTCTAAAAACGTGGGAACCAGCTGTCACTACTCCACGGTGAGGGGAATGTGTGTTCTGTGCATGCTCAGAGGCACTTCTGTTCCCATGAATACACATTGCAATTTGAGGGCTGAGCCTTAACGTGAAAGCACAACCAAGGTTTAACTCTGGTAAGCCTTTTATCAAATTAAGTCCTGTTTGCTTCTCTCTTAGGACCAGTTTCCTCCTGAGCACAGTGATACATTGGTAGAAAATGTATGTTTGCACAGACAGCAAGAAAGAAATGTCAGCTGTCTTGGATCCTGAACTATCAGGGACTTCACTTTTGGATTTTCTCTGCAAATCCCTCCTCTCCTGCATACAGTGTTTTCTTTTTCTCTCCCTTTGCCCCAATAGACTGGAACTGAAATGGTCAAAAATTGAAATGGAACAGGATGTTTATGAAGTTTGCGAAAATGTGGAGGCGCTGCCTTTGAGGATCACCCGATCAGGGTACATCACAGATTCTGCCTTTGTTGCAGTGAAGGTAACGTCGTCATAAAAGGAACTGAAAATAAAGCATAGTTTAAGGATGTTGAAGGATTTGCAAAGTGCTAGTTTGCAAAGTGCAGTCCTTCACAAGACTTCTCAGAATAAGTCCAACTGACCTACCTTGTGTCGAAAGAACTACACTGCTCAAGCTTTTGGGGTGCAGTTTTATTCCCTAAACCAAATGGTGGGTTGTTGTTTTTTGGCTGCTACCTACTTTAATGTTGGTCCCTGCCATTAAAACAAAATGAATTACTACGCTCGTCTCAAAAGCTTGGTAGCATTTATAACACACACAATAAAAATCACCCTTTGTGTAGCATGGGAGACTTACACCACTGGTTTTAAGGGAATAGTAATGCACACATGCACACACACACACACACACAACTCCATGCCCTCCATCATTTCTAGGATGAAAATAGGGACGTCCCATTCCATAAACCCCACACATTTCATTTGGTTGCTCTAGCCACTCTGGGCAGTTTCCAATATACAGTGGTACCTCGGGTTACATACGCTTCAGGTTACAGACTCCGCTAACCCGGAAATAGTGCTTCAGGTTAAGAACTTTGCTTCAGGATGAGAACAGAAATCGTGCTCCGGCAGCGCGGTAGCAGCGGGAGGCCCCATTAGCTAAAGTGGTACTTCAGGTTAAGAACAGTTTCAGGTTAAGTACGCACCTCCGGAACGAATTAAGTACTTAACCAGAGGTACCACTGTATATAAAAACATAGCAAAATATTAAATGTTTTTTTAAAAACCTTCCCTATACAGGATTGCTTGCAGACACTCTAGGGTTGGATAACTCCATCCCCTCCAACATTTCTCCGATGAAAAGTGGGATCAAATTCTCCTAAGGAAAAGTGGGATCAAATTAGAAACTGGGATAGCTTCTCTAAATCAGGGACGTCCCTGCAAAATAGGTCCACTTGGAGGGTCTGACACATTGATATCACAGACAAGATACATTGCCCACAACAGTCATTGATTGAATACTACTGTATGCAAGAGGTTGTCACAACATTTTGGATTGCTTCATCAGCATATTAAATGTACATACAAACATGCATGAAAAACGAGGGGGGAAATTTCAACTCGTGTTAACTGTTTACCACTTCTAGCGCCCGCCGCATTCTTCACCCCATGTGGCATTTTATGTGTCACTTCTTGCATCTTGATGACTCAACAGAAAAATGCCCACCATTTTGAAACCTCTTTTAGACTCTCTAAACTCCATCTACTCTTCGGGTACATAGAGGGAGGATTTTTTTGTGGGTTTGAACTGACCTTTAACTTGCTGTAATGAAACACTGTAGACAAATTGCATTGACTTAAGAATTTGTCTGGAGACTTTGTTGATAAAGACTTCTCTGCTAGACCATGGCATTAAGCATAATGGCATACTTACCTTCCTAGGAAAAGTGTTTCCCCTTTCTGAGATAAGGTCTGGTCTTAGTTAGAAACTGAACAAATCTTTGGGTTATTGCAGACTCATATACTGTAACTATAGCATGTGTAATGCTAGTCAATGCATGAAGGAATTAATACCATAGATCTGTATTGCTAGACTCAGCTAGGTCACACCTCTCACCTGGAAGGAACTCAATGAGATTGGACATGCCTGAGGCTGCTTGCTACAATCTCCAACCGCATGCTTAGAGCTATTTCATCTTGTAGCCCAAGATTTCTGCCTGTGTTTACTTGCTGCTACATGAATAAATGCATGAACTTGAATTTTGGAACTGTGTAAGTAAAGCATTTTTAAACTTACTAAGGTGTGTAGTCTGTTCAAGGGTAGAAACAGGGAAGCTCCAGTCGCAGATTAAATGGGGCATTAAAAGTGTAACAGCCTAAATCCCCACACTACACTGCTGCTTATTTTTGTGACTTTTTTAACTCTGCCAGGGGCTCTCTCTGGCCAGAGAGTGCATTTAGGTGTGTGCTTTGGTTCTAGAGATCCAGCTAAGTCTTTGTTTCAGCCCCTCATACTGTGCATTTTCTGTGCATTTTCTACCTTAGATCAATGAAGTAACTGCTTCATCAGGAAAGGATTTTACTGCGGCTCCTTCTAAACTTATTCAGTTTGATCCAGGTAAGCTCTGCCTCGGAGGGCAGTAACTTGAAAATTAATTTATTTATTGAAAGTGGTGAACAGGTAGTGTGATATAAACTGACATTCAGTGCAGACAAAACAGAGATACTGTGGTGAGAGGAGGGTTTCACCCTGTCTTAATGAGGATGCAATGCCCCTTAAGAAGTGGGTCCTCAAGCCATTAGAGCCAGTCCCCTGGCTTTTTATTGTATTCTATGTTGACATTTTTCAATAAAAATTGAATGCAGGTGGCGCTGTGGGTTAAACCACAGAGTCTAGGGCTTTCTGATCAGAAGGTCGGCGGTTCGAATCCCCGCAACGGGGTGAGCTCCCTGCTCCTGCCAACCTAGCAGTTCAAAAGCACATCAAAGTGCAAGTAGATAAATAGGTACCGCTCCAGCGGGAAGGTAAATGGCGTTTCCGTGCGCTGCTCTGGTTCACCAGAAGTGGCTTAGTCATGCTGGCCACATGACCCGGAAGCTGTACGCTGGCTCCCTTGGCCAATAAAGCGAGATGAGCGCCACAACCTCAGAGTCATCCACAACTGGACCTAATGGTCAGGGGTCCCTTTACCTTTACCTATGTTGACATTTTTCAATAGAAATTGCTTACAAAAAAAGAAAATGTTTCTTGCCATTGAGTTTCTTAACTTTTCAATATCTTCTCATTTGTCCAGATGTTTAAGTCATTATTGATATGTGTCTGTGTGTTCTTTACTGGCTGATTTTACGTGGTTTTAACATGTACCTCTTGTTAAGAGTTCTGCCATTTTAATGTTTTACCGTTGGTAACTGGTTGTTTTAATGAACTGTTTTTAACCGCTTGCCGCTCTGGGAAGCATTCAGGGTCGGAGAGCAGGAGATATAATTAAAATTACAGCTTAGCTTATATATAAACTGTTCCATCCAAGGCTGTGCACACCCACACATTTAAACTACAGTTCCCAGGATTCTTTGGGGGAAGTAATGTGCTTTTAAATACATGGTGTGGATGCAGCCTATACAGAGGCTGAAATCATTGCATGTACAAATTGTCTTAAGGGGAAACAGGGTCCCTGTATGTTCCTTTCATTTCTGTGACTGCCCACAAAGGGGACGAACATTCTTGTGGGAAGATTATTGTATGAACGGCTGCTGTAACACATATAAGTGATACTCCACACGAACCTGCTCCATGACATAGAACATTTGTGCCAGCGTAGCACCTTTCTGGAGCATGGGCACTGGAATTTGGTCTTTCCCTGTGGTCAGTCCATGCTCTGAGATGCTCACAATAAACTATGGTACCTTTGCAGAGCCCAGTCAGGGTTTAATGGTCCAGGAGGGTGGTAAGCATTGTCCTTTGCTTTTAACTTCCAGAGCTGTAGTCTGCCAGCTTCTCCTTCAAGGTTGTGTGAGAAGTTTTGCCGCTCTCGCCAAGGCTCTTCCCCTCCCCCCCTTTTTTTTGCTTCCTTTGAAATTCCTCTGATCTTTTGCCCAGGCGAGAACCTCAGAATTGGCTTTGCAATTTTGCACGATGCGAAATTCAGTGGCGATCATGGTGTTATACCCTCCGACAGATGTTTGCTTCCATCAAAACTCCTTGGACCTTTTACCTAACAGAAACCTCCAGTTTTGCCTCAGTATTAGTGGCAACTCCGATTCCCATCTCAATCTTCCTCCTGTGTGATTTTCAGATGCGGCTATATGCCACACTAGTTACCTTAGTTCATAGACAGTGCGATGCCAACAAATTATGTGGTATTTGCAATGAAGACTCCAGCTTTGCAACAAAGTACTTGACGCTGAAAACAGAACTAGTCGTGGATGATTGATAATGACAATATTTCAAAACAATAGTGGATTCTCTGTAATTAAGATTTCAAGATGAGGAGCACTTTTTATTTCTTTTTAAAATTTACATGACGATCCGGCCCTTCCCCCTGAACTGCCTGCTATTATTTCCCACTCTATAGAAAACAGATCTTTGTTACTGTGTGAATGGAATCATCATTGCTCAGGAACAAATTTGGTCTCTAGTTAGTGTTATTTGGAAAAACCACAGGAGTCCAATCAGTGGGCAGGAGCACAATGGTACGTACAAGCTAGTCTCTTGTAGCCGTAGACATGTTAATTAATATATTTCTTCGACACCTAGGTTGATTGAAAAAGCAATTAAAGTGTAATTAAAATGTTTACTTCTGGTAGGGATGTCAACCAAGATGTGGAATATAGCAATTACCTATGACGGATTAGAGGAAGACGATGAGGTCTTTGAAGTGGTTCTCATCTCTCCTGTGAATGCTGTTCTTGGCAGTAGGACAAAAGCTGCAGTGAAAATTTTGGACTCAAAAGGAGGTATTCTCTTTTGATCTTCTTAATAAAATCTGGACCAATCTTGGCTGATAAGCGACTTATTTTTCAACACATAATTGTTGTTGCTAACACTTACCTTCAGATCAAAATGCTTCATGTTTTTATTTAAAAAAAGAAAATAGCCTTGACAGTTTCAAACCTTTCCTCCTCTGGCAATGTCTATTCTTCTTCTGCTTAGGAAGCACAGCTTGAAGGAATCAACGAGAGCAAGAGGGGAAAACAGCACTCCCCCTCTCCCCTCAAAAAGAGCTTTTCCTAATGGATGAGTTTGATTTTTGGCTTGCAGCATTGCTTTCATGAGAAGCCCCTCTTGAGGAACTAGTGAAGCTTCCCCCCCACACACACACTTTTCTATTAACTATAGAACTTTTTCACTTCTTGGACAGGCAGTGTACTCACGGGAAGTCCCTAATTACTATCATATCTTTCTTAAAGGCCATATCGTTAATATAAAAAAACACACATTTGCTTAATGTACTTTAAAACAAATGGCTGATTTTTAAAAGAAGAATTGCTGGGACTCATCATGGTGTTGTTGTTTTTTTTTTAAAAAGATCCTGAAATATTTGCACTCCGGTTGAGCAAGGGAGATCCAATGTGCAGAAACAAGTGTCTGTAAACAGTTTCTTTTGCGTGGCTGGTAATCTTGATCTTGTGTTGCATCTAATTGTGCATCTACATCATGTGAAGCATTTGAACGCAAGATGTGCACTGTGGTTCCCATTTGCACTTCAGAGTGGGGACAGGGTTGTGTTGTGCCATCTGTATTTTAAGCGGGGTGGGAATGCAAATTCCTATCCACTGACTCAGACCTGTAGTTATGTACCCACAACTCTAGCAGGATTAGGGGCACATTAGCTGAAGCTCAACAACTCTGAAGCATGGGCTTTGTTTTGTGCATGAGACTATATTACGGGCCCATTCCATCTCCTTGCCTGACTGAAGACCATTTGTCTATGGCAGAGGGAATCTGCCATACTCTTCCCTGAGATGTAGAAACCCCTTCCAAACTACAGTGGTACCTTGGGTTAAGAACTTAATTCGTTCTGGATGTCCGTTCTTAACCTGAAACTGTTCTTAACCTGAAGCACCACTTTAGCTAATGGGGCCTCCTGCTGCCGCCGTGCCACCCCACGCGATTTCTGTTCTTATCCTGAAGCAAAGTTCTTAACCCAAGATACTATTTCTGGGTTAGGGGAGTCTGTAACCTGAAGCGTCAGTAACCTGAGGTACCACTGTATTTGTGAATGGCACCCGGAATGTAGGCTAGGGGTGAGGAACCTTTTCACATTGCCTTTGGAGCAACCTTTTGAGAGTCGCATGCCAATGGTGAGCAGGGTTGGGGCAAAAATAGTCGAAACAACAAATGTAAATTTTAACTTTGTACAGCAGGCTAGTTCCACACACACACACACACACACACACACACACACTCCTGCTTCCCTGACAAGGAGGAGGCATTGTTGGAATTCAAGGTCACATTCCAGCTAGACAAAACCATGGGGCAGGGCTGGTGAGGGGGTATGGCCAGGAGGAAGTGCCAAGCTCCAGACAGAGAGGCACGGGAACCTAGTTATTCAGGTAGAGAGGCTATAAAAACCTGGTAATTCCAGGTCACCTTTCCTAACAGTAAAGCTAGCTTTGAGGCCCTGAACAGTTTCGGTGGATACCTTTATTGATAAGCTATTTTAAATATGTCTTAATGCATTTTTATCTTGTTGTGTATGCCACCTTGTGGATGCTATGCCCTAAAAAGCAGCCTTGACTATATGTAAACCCAGGTATTGCAGGTTCAGTTCGAAGAGAGAGTGTGGTGTCATGTTTAAAGGTACTTGGACTAAGACAGGGCTGGGAAACATCTGGTCCATGAGCCAAAATCACCAGGTAAAGGCAGATAATTAGAAGAAGTTGTTTACTATTTGTACCCCACCCATCTGACTGGGTTGCCTCAGCCACTCTGGGTGGCTTCTAACAAATATAAAAGCATAATAAAACATCAAACATTAAAAAACTTCCCTCTACAGGGCTGTTTTCAGATGCCTATGGAATGTCATATAATTATTGATCTCTTTGACATCTGATGGGAGAGCGTTCCATAGAGTAGGTGCCACTACTGAGAAGGCCCTCTGCCTGGTTTCCTGTAGCCTCACTTCTCACAATGAGGGAACCGCCAGAAGGCCCTCAGAGCTGGACCTCAGTGTCTGGGCTGAACAATGAGGGTGGAGATGTTCCTTCAGGTGTACAGGGCCAAGACCGTTTCAAAGGGCTTTAAAGGTCAGCACCCAGACATTGAATTGTGCTCAAAAACATACTGGGAGCCAGTGTACTGGGAGATTTTGGTTCAACTTCCTGCTGAGGCCATGGAGCTCACTGGATGACCTTGGATATGTCAGACACTCTGAACCTGACTTACCTCATAGGGTTCTATAAGGATAAAATGGGGAGGGCAACCCCTGAGCGATTGATGTGCACAGTGGCCTTGCAGTCAAACAAAGTCAAGTACACTCAGAGGGAGAAGAATAAGTGGCCTTTGCTCCACCATGGAAACCTGATTCTGGTCTATGTGCGTATGGAATTTAAGAAACAAAGGATGTTGTTGTTGTTGTTGCTTAAAAATAACTTCCTCAGAACTTCTAAAATTCCTTTTAAGTTGGCAGATAAAGTTCAGAAACAAGGACTAGTTAAGAAAAGAAAAACAACAAATCAACATCAGATGAAAAATCATCTTACTCCTAATGACAAGCTGTTTCATCGCCCACATCAATGTGACCAGCTATCTGTTTTATATAAAAAGAACTGACCATCTGCCATCTTGTTTGCTTTCAGGTCAGTGCAGCTCATTCCACTCCTCAAGCCAAAACATTCACAACTTATGGATGAAAGGAACATTGCTTCCAGGCCCCTCTTCATCTTCCAGGCATGGCACTGTTCATTTGGAAGGGATCCCATTGCCCGCTTCCAAAGAGATGGTAGTGCAGAGAAGGGACAAATTACCAGAATTCAACTCGGTGAATCTTGCAAGGAGCCGGCTAAGAGCCCTTGGAAATGGCAAAATAGTAAGGATTGCTTCTCAAACAGTGGGAGGATACAATTATTCCAAAGTTGGTGTGTGTTTGTGTGTATGTACTTCTGTATGAATATCTCACGTGATTTAATGATTCTTTTTGAACTGAGCACTGATTAGGTTGGCAACAGTCAGAGACGACAGTCAAGAGCAGTAAAGGTTTTGTGATTGGGACACTCTTGGCCTTGGTGTACCCATTTAGTTTGTCTTGCTACGGGTCAAACAGATGTTGCTGGAGTTGGGTTTTTTAAAAAAAGAATTGCAAAGTCTGAAAAACCGAAGATGTCAGTGCAATTGACATGCACATCATATGACATGATGCTTCTGCCATGTCACCTTCATGTCTTTAGGAAATTTAAAGTCTTGTTGTGGGAAGAAAGAAGCTAGTGAGCAAAATCCATTCTAGATAAGGCTATCTTCAAATTTTCTATGCAGATGTTTCCTGGGGTTTGGGGATCTACATAATGGCCACCTGGGGTCCAAATTTTCCCACAACCATATTTAACTAGCTGCCTGGCATTGCTTGGGATTTCTAAGAAATTTTGAAATCAGAGGTGAAAATTGCTGCATGATTTTGAAAGGTTCGGTCTGTCACCTTGATTCAAAGTGGCAACCTAGAGTTGAGTCTGGCAACAATATATTGAGGAGCATCCGACCTATGGAGGCCAGACAGCCAGACAAACCACTTTCCAAACTACAGTATATAGTAGATGTGGGGATTATTAAAAGCCTGCCTTTGCAATGAGAAATTGCTCCCAAGTGATAACAGATTACAAAACTAACAAATTGGAGACAGGATGTTTAAGTGTTATGGAATTGTAAGAATCACCATCCTCACCACCCCTGCTTTTGGAGTTTGGAATATTCCCTAGGTCAGACTGGTTAATACCCAAACGAGGTTGAGTTTCTTATGTCTTACTTAACCTTTTACTTAACCTGGATGTGTTTGTTCTACAGGTATTTCTCTAGAGGACTGCAAATATTTGTGGCACAATTTGCCCTTCTTAGCTCTATATGGAGCTATATGGGTAGAAGTTCTACTGTAGAACCTCCTGTGATCTATGGACTGATTGGCATTATGTGAGGTAGATGAATTATTAGTCAGCCTTAGATAGATATAGATAGATGATAGATAGATAGATAGATAGATAGATAGATAGATAGATAGATAGATGATATAGACACTCAGGTTGTCACCTCCACTCCCGCCATCTCACTAAAGTAGAAAAAATTGTATTTTGCTTTCTTTATTAAGAGATGCTGTGAACATTCGATCTTCTTTTCCTTCCAGGTTCGTTCTTCTTTCACTTTTAGAAATGGCACTGGCGTCTTTTTTAAAGTAAGAACATGATTTTGCAGCAACATACACCTTTAATTCTTCTTTTGTTATATCTTACCTGTATACAGTATACAACCTGATTAGTGATAGTGACTGAGTTTTTAAAGTTATATTGCATTTTAAAGTCCTATTCCATTTTACCCTTTTTCCTTTTGGACTAAAATTGCACACGATGGTAATGTTTTTAAAAAGGCTCTGCCACTAATCAGGTCTGAGACAAGATGGAGGTGAGAAGTGCAGGCCCAGTTTTAGCTCTTTTAAGAGCAAACATGGTACAGTGGTACCTTGGGTTAAGTACTTAATTCGTTCCGGTGGTCTGTTCTTAACCTGAAACTGTTCTTAACCTGAAGCACCACTTTAGCTAATGGGGCCTCCTGCTGCCGCCGCGCCGCCGGAGCCCGGTTTCTGTTCTCATCTTGAAGCAAAGTTCTTAACCCAAGGTAATATTTCTGGGTTAGCGGAGTCTGTAACCTGAAGCGTATGCAACCTGAAGCCTATGTAACCCGAGGTACCACTGTATTATTAGAAGGGCAGGTATGTTCTCCCTCCCCAGCTCCTATACCCAAACAACCCTTCCTTCAGATGATTTTCTTCCAGTGAGAAGTGAATATAGTTGATAGAAAAATGACGTCATGGTAGACCACCAGGGTGAGGAGTTTAGCAACTCCATTTGCATGCTCTTCTTAAAATTGGGCCCTCACTCCATTTTATACATGATTTGGGACAAACCCAGTTTAAAGATGTGATTGAACTGTTGTCATGTGTAATTCGAGCCTTAAAGACAGCTTGTATTTAAAAACTCTCTTTTAAGTTCTGTGACCAATACAACTTTGGAGCTGACTAGTGAGGAATTATCCTTTCTCTCCATCTGCTTTTGTTGTTTGTTTGTTTGTTTGTTTGGTCATTCTTTCTCAAGTACCATGGAATGGCAGTGCTCAGAGTGGAGGATGACAACCCATTGCCTATCAAAAACGAGATGGCAGCCACGTCAGTAATTAACCAAAGAGAGCCAAGGAAAAATATGGCTCCCCTCAAGAAAATGGAAGTTCCGCAAGCGGACTCTAGCATTCCGGTATCTTCTGTTCCCTGTTTGTTTGTGCACTGTATTCTGAAAACGTTTTAAACCCAAAAGATGAATATTTAAAGTGACATTAAACTCACTCACACACACACACACACACACTGTGTGTGTGTGTATATATGGGTGGGTGGGTGGGTGGGTGTGGGTGTGTATATATCTTCTGAAAACAAATTGTTCAGCTTAAGAAAACAGTAAAAGCAGTAAAGTTGTGAAGAATATTCCAAGGACGTTCCTGAAAGACCTGAATCACAAATCTTCATTGATTTATTCAGGGATGTCATATTTGAGATTGCACAAACATCTATCAGCAAAAATCTGTCCGGCACAATGTTTTTAAAAAGCTATGCAGAACGTTAGCATTAGAAATGCAAGAGACTGCCTTGCAGTGCTGGAGACGGAGACTACAATAAAAATAAAAATTGATTGCTTTGTCTTTTTTTTTTTTGCCAAAAATCCATTTCTTTTTCAGGTCCAGAGCCTTTCCTTTCCAAACAGATGCACGCCAGATTTGAAGGGTCTCTTGCACTTTGAAGGAATCACTCAGAAGATGTTTCAGTGTGATGGTCATTCCTGGACTCTGTGGAGTAATGCAGACCAGGTAGAAATCTGCTGGATGAATGTTTATTTTCAAAAAAAGGAAAATAAAATAAATAAAACACAAACTTTAAATTTGTCTCAAAGTAGCCAGTTTTCAGCAAATCAAAAGCAGGATTGTAGAAGCAGACAGATATATATATATAAACTGATTTAATGGATCTGTTTGGTCATGGTTCCCTTGTCCCTCTGTTGTACTAGGGCTGCATGTGCACCATACATTTAAAGCACACAAACCCCACATAAAGACCCCTGACAACTGTAGTTTGTTAATGGTACTGGGAATTGTAGCTCTGTGGTGGGTAAACTACAGTTCCCAAGATTCTTTGGGTGAATAAATGCTTGCCCAGCCACAGTCTTGCTGTCACCTACCTCACCCAAGTCCCATCCTGACAGCAGTGTCAGGAGGGCAACTTCATGGCTCTACCCCATGTGACAGTTACCTCCAGCCTTGATTATTGTAACTCTGTCTACGTGGGGCTGCCCTTGAGACTGACCCAGAAACTCCAGCGGGTGCAGAATGCCGCAGTGAGACTCCTTACGGGGACCTCGCCACTGGATCACATTCACCTGTTGCTATACCAGCTGCACTGGCTCCCGGTGGAGTACAGGATCAGGTTTAAGGTGCTGGTTTTAACCTTTAAAGCCCTATATGGCCTAGGACCCTCGTGCCTACGGGACCGCCTCTCCTGGTATGACCCACGGAGGACCTTACAGTCTTCAAATAAAAACATCTTGGAGGTCCCGGGCCACAGGGAGGTTAGGCTGGCCTCAACCAGAGCCAGGGCTTTTTCGGCTGTGGCCCTGATCTGGTGGAATGCTCTGTCACAAGAGACTAGGGCCCTGCGGGACTTGACATCTATTCGCAAGGCCTGAAAGATAGAGCTGTTTCACCAGGCCTTTGGCCAAGGCACAGTCTAACCCCCTCCTTTGGTAATCCTTAAAGAACTCTAGCCCAATGGTTGACATTAATTTGATTTTGAATTGATTTTAGAATGAATTGATTTTAGAATGCTGTGTTACTTTTATTGTTGTTAGCCACTCTGAGCCCGGCTTCAGCTGGGGAGGGCGGGATATAAATAAATTATTATTATTATTATTATTATTATTATTATTATTATCTCTAGGGTCACTGCTGCAGCATTCAAGAATATATTTCAGGGGGTTAGACTAGGTGTCCCTTTCAACTCTATGATTCTGTTGTTGTTACTTGGGAAAGCAAGCAGTGGTTCAGGACAGAGGGGCTCATGGCAAAAGCTGGAGGAGGTTGAACCCTCCAGCTGATATCCAAATGCCATTTGGGGAGCAGCGGGGTCCAGATTCTCTGAATTCTCTGAGCTAGCTCAGCTTCCAAAGGACACTTCTTTCAGAAGATGGGAACATGGAAGGAAATAATACTGAAATAAGACCATCTAATTCTAGGGTGTTAATGTGATTACCTGCCCTCCCGGTTGGACCCATCATGATGGAACCTGCTACATCCTAATCACCGATCCAAAAGTCACGTGGACCGTAGCTGCCCGGGATTGCAGGGAACAGTAAGGAGCTCTTATATATGTGTTCCCTGCTGTTGAATGTCCCATCCTGCGTGTTACTGTAGAAATGATACTCTTGCCAGTAAAAGATAATACTAAAGTTAGATCTGTTTTTCCAAAGGTTTAGGGAGGATGCGAGGGATTTCAGTGTAGAGGGTAGGTGGTTAAACCCCTGTTCCAAAGTTCTCTTTGCAGTTGGTTTGATCAAAGCCATTACAGCTTAAGCATAGTTTCACACACACACACACACACACACACACACACCCTTTGTTTAACCAAATGTAGATATCAGTACCTCTGGATTGTAAATAGAACCTTATACAGTGGTACCTCAGGTTACAGAAACTTCAAGTTACAGATACTTCAGGTTATAGACTCCGCTAACCCAGAAATAGTACCTCGGGTTAAGAACTTTGCTTCAGGATGAGAACAGAAATCATGCTGCGGCAGCAGGAGGCCCCATTAGCTAAAGTGGTACCTCAGGTTAAGAACAGTTTCAGGTTAAGAACGGGCCTCTGGAACAAATTAAGTTCTTAACTCGAGGTACCACTGTGACATGTACATCACAGCTTGTCTCACAATACAGTGGAAGCTTGGTTTTCAAACATAATCCATTCCGGAAGACTGTTCGACTTCCAAAATGTTCAAAAACCAAAGCAGGCATTTCCGGAAGCATTTACATCCAGAAAACTCAATACAGAAGCCGCGTGGCACGTTCTGCTTCTGAAAAGCATTCAAAAATGTCCGGGTTTTCGGCATTTGAAACCCGAAACGTTTGACTTCTGAGATGTCTGAAAACCGAGGTTCCTTTTCTCAGCATGCTTTCCCAATATTTTCCCCCCAAAAAAGGGTTTTAGTGACTCTCAGTTTTTACGTTCATTATCCATATGCTCGTTGAGATATAGTAACCGTACATTGCCCCTTTATCAGCAGAACGGATGCTTCTTCTGGATAGCTCAGTTGGTTAGAGTGTGGTGCTGATAATGCCAGGGTTGCAGGATCGATTCCCATATGGCGTAGCTGAATATTCCTGCATTGCAGGGGGTTGGATTAGATAATCCTCAGGGTCCCAACTCTATAAGTCTATGATTCTGAGTCTAAAAATCCCTCTCTCCTTTGCTGAGCTTAGGTATCATGGCAGTTTAGTAAGTGTGGCTTCTAAAACACACATGCAGTGGCTGTGGGACTTCAGTGGAAGAAGACCCTTCTGGACAGGTAGGTATACGGTACAACAAACTGTCTACTCTTCAGCCTCTGGCCCACATTTCCCTCAAAATATATGGCACCAAGGTTGACATTTTTTTCCTCTCCTGGTCTTTAGGATGGTAATTTCCAAATACCATTCTTTCAAAACATTTCCCTGCTTAAATTATCTTTGCTGCTGTTGTGCAGAAGGTGAATTTCTGGTCTTCCAGGTTTCTGGCACTGAACTTCCAAGCTCACCAGCTCTGTCCTTGGAGCTCTTCAATGGTTTGGCCATTCTCCCAGCCAGCTTCATTCTTCTGGAGCTTTTCCCTCCTGCCCTAAGAGCTCATGGCTCAGCTTCATATGGCTCAGGATCTAACGGGGAGCAGGCCTTAACCAGATGGCTTCACAGACCTGGCCAAGGGTCAGTAGCTGTAGCCAGTTGTTGTAGTTCCCTATTACAGGTACTAAATCTACACTTACAGCAACTTTTCCTATCCTATTTCCCCTGTTAGTTTTATGATTTAAATTGGAGTTTGTTTTTACAAGAAAGCTCCCCCAATGTATAACCCGTTCTTTGGATTTGCAAGCACACCATACATTTGAAACACATTCAAATTACCCATCCACCTAGAATCCTGGGAATTGCCATTTATCTCCCACAAAGCTACAATTCCCATCACCTTTAACAAATGACCATTCCCAGGATTCTGTGAATGTGCTTTAAATGTATGGTTAAACCACAGAGCCTTGGACTTGCCAATCAGAAGGTCGGCGGTTCGAATCCCCGCGATGGAGTGATCTCCCGTTGCTCGGTCCCTGCTCCTGCCAACCTAGCAGTTCGAAAGCACATCAAAGTCCAAGTAGATAAATAGGTACCACTCTGGTGGGAAGGTAAACGGCATTTCCGTGTGCTGCTCTGGTTCTCCAGAAGCGGCTCATTCATGCTGGCCACACAACCTGGAAGCTGTACACCGGCTCCCTCGGCCAATAAAGCGAGATGAGTGCCGCAACCCCAGAGTCGGCCATGACTGGACATAATGGTCAGGGGTCCCTTTACCTTTTACCTTTATGTATACCCTTCTACATTTCTCCAATGAAAATAGGGGCATCCTATTTAATAATAATACCCCACTCATCTGCTGGGTTGCCCCAGCCACTCTGGGTGACTTCCAACATATATAAACCATAATAAAGCGTTAAATATTTTTTTAAACTTGTTTTTATAAAGGGCTACCTTCAGATGTCTTCTAAAGGTTGTATAGGTCCCTATCTGCTTAGCTTGGGGGGGGGGGGGTAACTGCCTACCCTCCAACATTTCTCCAATGAAAATAGCAGCATCCTAAGGAAAAGCAAGACATTCCAGGTTCAATTCAGAAACGAGGACAGTTTTTGTAAATTTGGAACTGGAAATAGGGACACTTGGAGGGTCGGGGCATGTATGCAGCCTAAGAATATTTGTGAGAGACCGGTCAGGTTGTTCTGAACACTTTGTCAATTATATGACGGTCAACTTGCACATCTGAATTTGTTACAGGCTTCAACGACAGAAGAAATCCAGGCCAGTTCAGATGGAACAATGGAGACCGTGTTGCTTTCACGAATTGGGGGAAAGAGCCGTCACGTCTTTCAAAGAAAGGAAAGAACTGTGTTTTAGTACAGCAGCGGGGGAAATGGCAAAGACAGAACTGCAAGAAGGGCAAAGGACACAATTATATATGCTCTAGGAAACTGTAAAGACAGCTGATGCAAACCTCATCATGTATAAAAATAGATATATTTATTTATAGCCAGGGGTGCTGAAAGGGCATGAAGGTAGGGAGTCAGGTGACCTATTTGTAATAGGTTTTTATACGAAGGGGTTAAAAAATGATAGGGGGAAATGTTACACTGTGACTGATCTCTTTTGTGGTATATCGAGTATGATTGAAGAACAAGCCTTGTTCGCCCCAGAGTTATTTTCTATCAAGACTCTTCCAAGACATATAAAATATGAAACAGCTAGAGAAGTTGGCAGAGGTTGAGTTTTTTTATATTAAGCCATATGTTACTTGCCTTGCCTTTCCTGAACTGGGTACTCTACCCCTCACAACACTGCAATTGTTTGGTTTTGAAAGGGAAACAGCCATGGGCATAGCCAGGATTTTGGGGAGGGGGACAGAACCTCAGATTTGTATTGATTTTGATTGATATTTTTCCTCTCCCTCCCCCTTGGCTACGCCCATGGAAACAGCCAGCATTCTGTTGGTCAAAGTTTATAAAAGATGCATAATAGTGGCTACAGAAATTTTGGAGCTTTAAGTAAAAAAAGAAAAGAAATCAAAATTACTTCCCTTCCCCTTCACACATTTTTATCGACACACAGAGAGGAAATATGGAAGTGGGAACATGGTGAACTCTTTCGAATGATGGTTTCGTGTTGCTATGTTATGATAATATGCCCAAAGCTGTAATACTTCTGTGAGATTTTAAAAGTTTACATTATGATGGTAACCGAAACTAAAGTACACACAGCCGCTCTTCTGTTTCAAGTGGCACATGGAGAGAACTCCAATGGTAAGCCAGCAATATCATTATAAGTAGGGACGCAGGTGGCGCTGTGGTCTAAACCACTGAGCCTCTTGGGCCTGCTGATCAGGTCGGCAGTTTGAATCCCCACAATGGGGATGAGCTCCCGTTTTTGTGAGCTCCCGTTGCTCTGTCCCAGCTTCTGCCCAACCTAGCAGTTCAAAAGCACGCCAGTGCAAGTAGATAAATAGGTACTGCTGTAGCAGGAAGGTAAACAGTGTTTCCATGCTCTCTGGTTTCTGTCACGGTGTTTCGCTGTGCCAGAAGTGGTTAGTCATGCTGGCCGCATGACCCAGAAAGCTGTCTGTGGACAAACGCCGGCTCTCTTGGCCTGAAAGCAAGATGAGCGCCACAACCCCATAGTCGCCTTTGACAGGACTTAACCATCCAGGGGTCCTTTACCTTTTACCTTTTTTACCTATCATTATAAGTGTGACCTGTCAGCTAAGATGATTGCAGCATTAAAGAATTCCTAGAGAAATTGTATTTTTAAAAGAATAATCAGTGATATGCTGCCCTAAGAACATAAGAAAAGCTGTGGTAGATCAGGGCAATAGCTCACCTGGTCCAGCATCCTGTTGGCACAGCACTCTCCCCATCTGTAATTCCCAAAAGTACTCTCCCTCCCTCTGTGGTAGTAAAGGCAGCCATCAATAGCTTTAAAGGTAAAGGTAAAGGGACCCCTGACCATTAGGTCCAGTCGTGACCGCTTCTGGGGTTGCGGCGCTCATCTCGCTTTATTGGCTGAGGGAGCCGGCGTACAGCTTCCAGGTCATGTGGTCAGCATAACTAAGCTGCTTCTGGCGAACCAGAGCAGGGCACGGAAATGCCATTTACCTTCCCGCCAGAGCAGTACCTATTTATCTACTTGCACTTTGACGTGCTTTCAAACTGCTAGGTGGGCAGGAGCAGGGACCGAGCAACAGGAGCTCACCCCATCGCGGGGATTCGAACCGCCAACCTTCTGATTGCCAAGTCCTAGGCTCTGTGGTTTAACCCACAGCGCCACCCGCATCCCTTATCAATAGCTTTACCCTCCATGAATCTGCATAATCCTCTTTTAAAGCTATCCCAAGTTCCTGACCATCATTACTACCTCACTACCTCTCCCGTGAGTAACTTCCACAGTTTCACTGTGCATTGGGGGAAATGTCAAACCCAAAGCTTTGTTTGCTTTCTGTCCTTCACTTGTGGTTTCTCTTCTTGCCTCTGCCGGGCCCCAGCATGGACATACAATGGTGCCTTGGTTCTTGAACGGTTTTGTTGATAAGCAAATCAGCTCCCGAACGCCGCAAACCCGGAAGTAAGTGTTACGGTTTGTCGACGTTTTTCAGAAGCCAAATGTCTGATGCAGGAAACTCCTGCAGCCAACGGGAAGCACGCCTTGGTTTTCGGTTTGGGGAGTCAAAAGGACTCCTGGAATGGATTAAGTTCAAGAACTAAGGTACTGTAGTCTTACTTTTCAAGTGTGGGCCAGGGAAACCTGTTTCTTCGAGCTCTTTATTTTTCCTCTCTCTGAGCCATGTCAATAATGTGGACTGCAGCAGAGAAGGGAATTGCCCCTGTAAGAAACACCAATTGAACTTGGAGGACAAAACTAGGGAAAACACCACCTCCCCAAGAGAGGTATGACATGTGTCAAACTCCTAAAGATGACATCATCCTGTTTAGTAGTAAGGACATTTTACCACGCATCAGCCGACCATGCGTTGTACGATGTAAAATAAAATGGTGATGTGTTAGGAAACTATTTTGGAACCCTGGCAATGCAGAAATGGCCTGATGAACTGGAACAGGGGAAAAGAGAAGGGCAGGAAACCTTTTTAAAGTTACAGACCCACAGTTCATCAACATACAAGCAAGCCTTTAATATACATCTCAAAAGGACTGCAAATAGTTACCCGATGCAAAGAGAATAATTTCCCAGACAGAAGCGAAAAATGCCATGTTAAACTTTGACATAAATAAACATGTAATAAGAGTCATAAAATTACACGCAATCATAAATTCTGTACACAATTGTTTCTCCTCTTAAGACCGTTGAAAAGAAAAATTGTTATTATTAGATGTGCACATTCTTTCCTGAATGCTCAAGAAAATGTTGTTTATCAACATTGTGGTTTTGTTTTGTTTAATAAAAGGTGCTAATCAACTTTTATACCCCTACACACAGTATGCAATATGTACCATAATTTACTGTAATACTTAGAGTGTTAATAAAAAAAATGTTCTTATAAATGGATCTCGACTATAGAGTTCTAATCTTTCAACATTCCAGAGTACTGTAAATGCTGTTTTGATACAGAGTCCACTAAACCTATGAGGTCACACAATCACTGGCAAATGTGCTGCTGGAAACTGCAGCATGGCTGTAAAGTGAGAGGGATGGACAATTTGCAATGGGGGAAGGTGCTTAATCCTTCCTCTACCAGTCATAACCCCCCAGCTGGGTTTTCCAGATGCATTATCACCTTGTCAAATGGACAAAGCAGCTGCATGGAAGGGGGGGGGGGTTGTATGGAAAAAAGGAGGCCAGAAAAAGTGCTAAGAACCTTGTTGCTGTTTAGTCGGGTCAGACTCTTCCGTGACCCCATGGACCAGAGCATGCCAGGCATTCCTGTCTTCCACTGCCTCCCACAGTTTGGTCAAACTCATACTGGTAGCTTCGAGAACACTATCCAAACATCTCGTCCTCTGTCATCCCCTTCTCCTTATGCCCTCAATCTTTCCCAACATCAGGGTCTTTTCCAGGGAGTCTTCTCTTCTCATGAGGTGGCCAAAGTATTGGAGCCTCAGCTTCAGGATCTGTCCTTCCAGTGATCACTCAGGGCTGATTTCCTTAAGAATGGATAGGTTTGATCTTCTTGCAGTCTATGGGACACTCAAGAGTCTCCTCCAGCACCAGAATTCAAAAGCTAAGAACCTTAACACCCTCTTTTCCATTACAAAGCCCCTGCTACATTGCAGTGTAGAAGAAGCAAGTGGTGTGTTCTCAGCCCTCTGTTTCCTACTCCTCTCCAAGGCATGTTCTCGTATTCATAGAATCGTAGAATTCTAGAGCTGAAAGGGACCACAAGGGTCAGCCAGTCCAACCCTCTGCAATGCAGGAATACAAGTTTTGGGCTACAACCCTTAACTATGCAGTCCTCTGTGGGTTTATTCAGAAATAACTCCCACTGTGTGAAGAACATAGGCAGAGTTCTGCATGGATCAAGCCAAAGGCCCATCTAGTCCAGCATTCTGTTCTCAACAGTGGCCAAGTAGATACCTTAAGGGTACGCTCACATGCAAAACCTAAGCACACCAGCACTCATCCTAATAATAATAATACCCTGCCCATCTGGCTGGATTTCCCCAGCCATTCTGGGTGGCTCCCAACAGAATATTAACAATAATAAAGCAATAAAACATCAAATATTAAAAACTTCCCTAAACAGTGCTGCCTTCAGATGTCTTCTAAAAGTCCTTGACATCTGATGGGAGGGGGCATCCACAGGGCAGGTACCACTACCAAGAAAGCCCTCTGCCTGGTTCCCTGTAACCTCGCTTCTTGCAGTGAGGGAACTGCCAGAAGGCCCTCGGAGCTGGACCTCAGTGTCTGGGCTGAACAATGGGGGTGGAGATGCTCCTTCAGGTATAGTGGGCCGAGGCCGTTTGGTGCTTTAAAGGTTAGCACCAACACTTTGTATTGTGCTCAGAAACGCACTGGGAGCCAATGTAGGTCTTTCAGGACCAGTGTTATGTGGTCTCAGCGGCCACTCCCAGTCACCAGTCTAGCTGCCACTTTCTGGATTAGTTGTAGTTTCCGAGTCACCTTCAAAGGTAGCCCCACGTAGAGCACATTGCATCCAAGTGGGACATAACCAGAGCATGCACCACTCTGGTGAGACAGTCCGCAGGCAGGTAGGGTCTCAGCCTGCGTACCAGATGGAGCTGATAGACAGCTGCCCACCTGTGATTCCCCAGCAACTGGTATTTGAAGGGATAGTGCCTCTGACAGGGGAGGTTGAACATAACCATTGTAGCTAGTAGCTACTGTTAGCTTTATCCTTCTAAACTTGCTCTTCAGGTCATCCAAGTTGGTGGGCATCAATACCACTTGTGAGAGCAAATTTCACTGTTTATGAAGCACTTCCTTCTGAGTGTGGTGGGGCTCCGAGAAGTGCGTGGGATTGCACCTAAAAAGATACACATGCACTTCTGTAGATAAGAGACACTGCTTCTCGAGCAGCTGGAACCTTGTAATCTGGTGCTCTCGTAACCCAAATGATGTCCATTAAGAAATAGAAGACTTTTATTTTTCCTTCAGATTGGAGGACTCAAATGGTTACCCCAAGTCAGGGTTTTCCAATGCTCCTTGAGGATTCTGATTTGGAGCACACATGCAGACAGTCCCAACATGCACTACTGTTTAGAAGAGTCAGAAAGAGATATTTTTAAGTTCTTCGAAATGAGAGTGTAAGGTGTGCCCTCAAATGGTTAAGGTATCTCCAGACCACCCAGAAAGCTGGGATGTAGGGCACACATTGCTCAAGATAGGCTCTCCTTCTTCAAATGATCACTTGCCACCTCTGGTTCTACAAGCTGCCTTCTGCTTACACAAACATTAGATGCAATGTGTTTAAGATTGGTAATTGGTGTCTCTTTTGAAAATACAAGCTATAGTCACACACACCCCCTTTATGTTACATATATGAAGCTGCCTATGGGCAAAAGCTTATATATTTGTTTATTTCACATCCAGCAGTGTTTTGAGCAATAAATCGAAGAGAGAGCACATTACTATTATTATTATTATTATTATTATTATTATTATTATTATTATTATTCCCTGCCCATCTGGCTGGATTTCCCTAGCGACTCTGGGTGGCCAAAAGTACATATAAAACATATTAATGCATCAAACATTAAAAACAGGGCTGCCTTCAGATGTCTTCTAAAAGTCAGGTAGTTGTTCATTTCCTTTACATTTTTAAGAAAATGGAAGGAAAGTTCAAGGCACTCTGCTAGGCTAAAATATAATTTAAATCCAAACTAAAATGTATTATCCTTACTAATAACACAGCAAACCAAACTAAACACTGAGCATGCTTCTGAATCCAGCTGATTTCCCCCCCATTCAGCCTCCGAACTCATTTCCTTCCAGTCGCTGAAGTTGTAATCCCTGTGTAAACAGCTGTCTGTGTATTCCTGATGCCATTTGCTTTTCCCAAGCACCCGGCTTGCTTTCATTTTGCTTTCCTCCTAAGGCGATCCACAACCCTGCTCACTCTTGCCAATCCACAATCCGATTCTACGGAGAGAATGCTTTCAGACAGTCAAGCAAACCCAAAATAAGGCAGGATATGGAAACCAGGCTACAGTCTGTCAGGGGCAGCTGGGAGAAACTCTGCAAACCATCACAAACTTTTTCTCTCTGTGCCGGGCAGCGTGTGTGTGTGTGTGTGTGCGTGCCAGCCACATGCCTCTCTGCAAAGCAGGATACACTTTGAGCTCCTCAAAGTGTTGGGAAAGTCGAGATATAAATGTTAACAACAACAACAACAACACCACCACTTCAGTTATCTGTCAAAGTGAGTTTCAGTCAATAATAAAAAATAATAATAAAATGGTGACACAGGACTCTGTTGTTTCCGTTAGAACGATAGGGAATAACTATGTCGGAATCAGTTACTTTAATTGCTCTTTGCATTTTTGTTGTCTCAGCTCCCGAAGTCAGGAAGCAAAAGAGTAGCTCACTCTGCCATCTGCCCCCTGTAGTAGTGTATATATTTATAAAGACTTGTTATGATCCCAGATCTTACGTGTATAGCAGCCAGGAGATTCTTGCCCAATGCAACTCCCAATGGCATTGTAAATCAAGATGAAAATATACAGAGTTAAATAATTGTCATGGGCGTAGCCAAGGGGGGGACATTAGGGCACCTGCCCCCCCCCAGCCTCAAAAAATATTGAAAAGCATTAAAAATACTCAATTAACTGAGGTTCTGCCCAGCAGAAGACTGCACCCCCCCACAACAAAAGTCTGCCCCTCATAATGTCCTCTTTGGGGGGGGGGGATTTATAATGGTGCTCTCACAAAAAAGCTCAACAACTTTTGGGGCGATCTCCTCCAAAAGCCCCCTCCCCCAAAGAAATCCTGTCTACACCAATGATAAGTATTGCATTAATATGGGAAGGTATCAAGACCTGAACTCCTGGGGATTGCCATTCTAAATAAAAAAGATAGGAGGTACAAGTTATTGCCTGATATCAGTTGCTTATGGCGTGATGCATATTTGATCCTCATATGGATGACAGCTGCATGTTGGGTTGGGCTAGATGACCCTCAAGTTCCCTTCTAACTCTAAGATTCTATGAATCTGTGAATAGTTGGACGAGATCTGTTGAAATTAAGGGACATGACTAATTTAGGTCCATTAATTTCAGTGGGTCTGTCCTGAACATAACTTAGTTGGAACTTAGCCCATTGTGATTTCTGTTCTGATTGATACACCACTTTCAGTTTTTGTTTTTATTTTAAAAAGGAAGTGATGAGGAGTGTAAAGGACCTTGGCATAATATATGTAATACAGTGGTACCACGGGTTACAGACGCTTCAGGTTACAAATGCTTCAGGTTACAGATGCTTCAGGTTACAGACTCTGCTAACCCAGAAATAGTACCTCAGGTTAGGAACTTTGCTTCAGGTTGAGAACAGAAATTGCACGGCGGCAGCGGGAGGCTCCATTAGCTTCAGATTAAGAACAGTTTCAGGTTAAGAACGGACCTCCAGAACGAATTAAGTTCTTAACCCGAGGTACCACTGTATATGGTGATGTGCACAATCCTGCAATTTATATTCTCTAGTGTATGTTTGAAAGGCACTACTAGCCTATGGCTAGTTCTCCTGTAATATTTGTTAAATGTTGCACCCTAGAAAACTAAAATAACATAGGAAAGTAGTTTTCAGGCAAGTCCTCACTCATACGGCAAAAGCTACAACACGAATTAAGTACACCTTTACATGGAAGTGATTTCCTTAGTAATAAATAGAATCTACAATAGCTGAGGCACAAGAACAAGCCTGCCCCCTCCTCACAACTTGCATAACTTGTATTTACCAGTGTGGTGTAGCTTTTAGTGTTTTAGAGTATGGCCTGGGAGACCAGGGTTCAAATTCCCACTCAGCAGTGAAGCTCACTGGACAACCTTGGGCCAGTCTCTCTCTCTCTCTTTCCCTCTCTTTGCCTATTCTACCTTTCTGGTTTGTGGTGAGGATAAAATAAGAAAAAGGAGAACTAGGTGCACCGTCTTGAGCTCCTTGAACGAAAAATGGGGTAGAAATGCGATAAATAAATAAATAATAAAATAACAAATAATAAAACATACCACTTAATCAAATAAATAAATCAAATATACCCGTGAGCTGGTCCAGATACCACATGGCAGCAGCATTGCATTTGACTCCCAAGGTCAGTTTTACAGTAAATGGGTGTGCTATATTGTGCTGTCATGTGTACAAATTTATTACATTATATTTTGAGGTTCCTTAGGCACATGGTCTCAGCAATCCTAAGAATGGATCTGAAAAACAGGCCGGTATAATCCGGTGCAGTGCAGAGGGTGATTTGCTTAGTGTCATCGAACAGCTCTCTCTCTCCCTCAGAAAACATACACTATTATTTTCAGACACATTCACTACCCTCCCAAGTAAAATTCCACTGTATAAATTTAACAATAAAGAGGGGGTTTTTGGGGTGCGGGGAGAGATTTCTGTGCTTTCCTGCTGGGTAAGATTTAAAGCTACCTAGAAAGTTTATATCTAAGGACTAGTGCTGTTGTTTTTCTGGGGAGACGCAGGGGGACGCATACCCCTAAACATATTGTGAATCTTTGTACTTTTATCTATTTACTGTATTTATTTTCCCTGATTTGAACTATAAAATGGTGATTTTCTTGAATCAAAATAAGAGTACCCCTAAACATTTTTTTTTTGGGGGGGAGCACTCCTGAGGACAGATTTGATCCTAACTCCCAGGAAGTTGCAACAACAATCAGGATTTTTATCTGGGTTGTGGGTCTGATCTGGATATGCATGTGTGTCTACACAGAATAGTTTGAAACTGCTTTAGATGTGCTAATGAATCTGCCCATAGCAAAACGTTTGCAGACATGGGTTGCATATGATACCCGGCTGCGTGAATATCATCTAGCCCAGAAGCACGATAGCAAATTTTGAAGGTAGCACTGTGCTGAGGTGGGAAAGGGGGTGTTATCTCTACTTACAATAAAAAGCAGGGCTGGAAGAACTTTGGCCATGTTTGTTTGTTTTTCGTTGTTGTGGGGTGTTTTTTGTTAGCAGTAGTGACTGGACTGCTCCATACAGTATATGTTTTTACAATGTTATTAGTTCTCTTTAACATGATAACCACTTCATAAAGTCACAGAAATCACTCTCTGCGTAGCCGCATTAAATGCTACATTTAATGTCTCGCATTCCCCTCAGTATTTACCACAGTGTGTGCACCTGAAGTAAAAAGGGGAGAAAAGCTGTCTGTTTGGCCATAAATGCCATTGGAATTTTACAAATATAGGCACATCGTGCTCAGAGAGATGATTTAACCTTGCTTTAACCTACACCTACAAATGTGGCAGTCTTCCTTTTCTTGTGTTGAGCGGCTACATTCCTTTGTTGTGCTCTCCTGAGATATTCAGCAGGGCAGAAAGAAGCTAATACACAAGTGGGAACTTTTCCACAGTTCCTAGACAGCAGCTAAACAATCAGTCCAAACATTTAAAATCACTCCCTGGCAAGGAAAACACATTTTACTGTAGATCCAAACTTTGAATACACATCCTCCAAGAGTAAAAAGGAAGGATAAGATGCCCTTGGCCTGGAGTCTGGGGTTAATGAGTGTTAATGGGTGTCACCTTCTTGGTCCCCATTTTTTTATCTCTTCCTCATGCCCCCCCCCCACAATTTGGAGCAGCTGGAATCTAAAACTTCAGGCCCTGTGTATAAATATAGCAGTCTGCCTTCAGCCTTTTTTGAAACTGCAAGAAAGTGAGGAAGGGAAAAGCACGCCAGAATTTTTAAAAAGGTCATGTTTTTGTTGTTGCTCCAGATGATGCTGCTTTCATGGCTTAAAACAACAGAGCAAATGGCTGTACTGCGGAAGAAAAGGAGATTTCTACACCTCCTGCCTCAAGACAGAAATACGCTAGTGAAATATCTAAGGGGCCAAGAAGGAACTCTGGCAGATACTGGTTTGTTTGGGACACACCTCTTGGCAGAAATGGAGGGCGAGAGGCAAAATGGCCCAGAGGTGCCTAGGTTTCTTTTGGCCTATAAAGATAGACATGCCACTCAAGATTTGGGAAACAGAATTTCTTCCACAAGTGCATCTCCAGAGAGAACGCAAAACGCTCCTTGCCACCCTCACAGGAAAAGGGAAGCAGAACTGCCCTTCAGGAAAGATGCCAAGAAGTTCTGGGACCTTTTCATGTTGAAAAGCAAGTCACGGTCTGATGTGATTGTCCTTCCAATCAAGACAAATGAAATGTATCAGGAGACCTGCAGCACCATCCCATTCTCTCAGGTAAAGTTAAATCTTAAAATCAGCACTTAACCCAACGCTCCTTCTATATACTTAGGAACATCCAGTGACGCTACTATTTGCATTGCAACTTTAATTTGCAAAATGGTTCACACACACACACACACACACACACACACACACCCATAGTAACCCTGTGAGGCGGGCCATTGTTTTCCAGATTTACAGAAGTGCGAGGGCTGATTTGCCCATGGTCTTATCAGTGCAAAATTTGCTTGTAGAAGCAAAAAAAACATTGTAAGTGTCTGTGCCAGAGACAGCCTGTAGCTTTGGGCGGCTAAAAAGTTTCGTTGCAATAACCTGTTTGTTTATTTGTTCTAGTTACAAGTAGGTAGCCGTGTTGGTCTGCTGTAGTTGAAACAAAATAAAAAAATTCCTTCCAGTAGCACCTTAGAGACCAACTAAGTTTGTAATTGGTATAAGCTTTTGTGTGCATGCACACTTCCTCAGATTTGTTTTGTTTTTGTTTGTTTTTATAAAAAATTACAAACACTTGGAAGCATGTCAATGCTTCAGGTGCATGATTCCCATTTTATACGATGGAAGTTTCAGAAAACAATATACAGTGCTAGATTTTAGAGCACAGGAATGTATGTTTCTGCCTTGAATTTATTTTCATTTTATTTATCTGAGCTATTTCTATACCACTTAATACTTGACATTTCTAAGCGGTGTACACAAAAATGATAAAAAACCATACAGTGGATAAAATTATATATATATAAAAAACCAGAAACTCTCCTAAAATGCCTGTTGAAATAGAAAAAGGGCCTATTCCCACCCCCCACCCCCCAGTAATTGTAGCAGCAAATATAAAAAGTGACTTAATTTTTTTAAAAAAATGTAATTCTGTATGAAGATAATGGTTTTATATGGAGCTGATGTAGCATACTAGTTGAGTGCCTGAGAAATGTGCTTACAAGCCCTGGCTCAAATCTCTGTTTAGCTGTGAACTCACTGGTAGTCAGATGGGAAGCCACTATTTCTCACTCCCCTATTTGTAATATGGAAATAATATTACTGGCCCACTACAGAGTGTTGATCTAAAGACTACTGAGATACGTTTTGAATAATGCCTTCATATTTCAAAAGTATTCCATATGATTCCATTTCTTGTATTTATATGCTGTCTAATGAAGTGCCATAGAACGTGCTTTAACAGCGGTGTGCTTTCTTTCAGAGCATTGCACATGAGAACTGTGAGGATCTGGTGGTGCAAAACAACTTGTGCTTCGGCAGGTGCAGCTCTTTTCACGTTCCTGGTCTTGAAGATCGCCTTTACACCTTTTGCTCGCACTGCTTGCCCACCAAGTTTTCCACGGAACGTTTGGAGATGAATTGCACAACCGCTGCTCCTGTAATCAAGGTCGTCATGATCGTTGAAGAATGCAAGTGTGAGGTTCAGAAAACAACAGATCTCAAAATGGGATTTCTGCACTCAGATCTGCATGCCAATGTGTATGAACAAAACTGAGCCTTTCAAAACGAACTTTTCTTAGTAGATTTTTATCACTGGCGAGAATAGCCAGGACTTCAGTTTAATGCCAACACAACATCTTGAAGAAGCCTCTGGTACAGTTTGTGCAAGTGTAAGAGAGTGAGTGAGTGAGTGAGTGAGTGAGTGAGTGAGTGAGTGAGTGAGATAGAGATTCTCCACACATGAGATTAAAGAGCTGAGTTGATCAGCTACTACTATAGGTGCCCTTTACCTGTTTTTAGGTGCACACCACAGTTTTTCATGTCTGTAATTGTGATTTCTGACCGAAATTATGTCCCAGTTTATTTATTAGGTGCACATATACCCAGTTAGTTCAGCTGCACTCTGGGCACAACAATGCAGGAATGTGTTCAGGATTGCCTCTTAACTGATGGAGCCACCTAATTAATTATCAAACTGAAAAAAGGGGGGATTCTTTCTATGCAAATCTTTCTGAGCACTCATGGGCAATAATACCTTTTCAATCCATTTATCCTTATGTCCTTAGTTCTCTGAATAAAGCAACCAGAACTCAGTTTTCCTAACCTTTCATTACCAAAAAAATCCCATCCGGATCAAAGGGAATTTTCAATACTGAGAACTTGACGGATTGGGCCCTAACTGTGAATATGCACCATTTAGAAAGGAGGTATAAAGAGGAAAACAGCAGCTGTAGTAATTGTTAATTAGATTAGTGCCTTAGCTTTTGGGGGTGAGTGTTTAATTAACCCAGCAATGATCAGCTGCATGTAATTAACACTGTATTCTGTTATATCAAGGATGTGTTAATTGGATCTGATTTTCAGAGTCAACTTCCATATTCAGAGCAAGTTGAGCCCAGGTGCTAACGGAATATTGCTCCAAAAAAAAAAAGGAAGGAAGAAAAAACAAATTCAAGCCAGAGGACAGTGGTCTTGTATACACCCCAGGGACTGTTAACTGTAGTCACATTTGAAACGTAGACAGGGTAACTGTTTCTGTAAAGTTCCCTTTGCTTTTAATTTGTCATAGTGTTCTATTTTATTTTACAGGATTTTCAGAGCTATTCCTAATTGGGGGGTGGGGGAGGAGGACAGTTTCCAATTATTGCAATGGTGCATCTTATACAGAGACTGTTAACTTTAAGACTTTTTAAATGAAGTTAATTGTCAGCCCCTAGAGTACACTTTTTCTCTGCGTTAGAATATCAGATTAATCACCACGAATACCTGCACAGTTTCACAATGCCAGTAAAGTTTAATCAACAGTGTGTTCCATGGTTTTTTTATTTTTGGTTGCTGATAGAAGAGGTTCAGTTGGAGACAACTGTAACACCTTGAAACTTTGAAGCCCTTCCCAGGAGCACAAAACCCTTTCAATGCCATTTAACTTTTATTTTAGCCATTGACACTGAGAGATCCACTGCTTGCAAGTTAATAAAAGTAGAATACTAATAATATAATTATTCAGGCCCTTTTTGTTATCAGCAACATATTAAAATTGACCATTTTGTCCATTATTAGATTTACCTGTTAATAGCTTCAAAGCATATACGATCTTGCTTTGTGGGAAAAGTTGGTAACTATATGGTATTGCTTCTTTTAATGCATATATGTTAATAATTTAGGCTGCAGTCCTAGGAACTATTCGTCTAAATTCATGTGTATGTGACTCTAGTAACATGAGTGGCTAGTTGGCACCATGGATAGTGTTCTAATAAACCTCTAATAAACCTTAGGACATATTCACATGTACAGTTGTATCATTGTGTGTCTCATCACTTGATAGTTCTAAAGGTAAAGGGACCCCTGACCATTAGGTCCAGTCGTGACCGACTCTGGGGTTGCAGCGCTCATCTCACTTTATTGGCCAAGGGAGCATACAGCTTCCTGGTCATGTGGCCAGCATGACTAAGCTGCTTCTGGCGAACCAGAGCAGCGCATAGAAACACCATTTACCTTCCCGCCGGAGTGGTACCTCTTGATCTACTTGCACTTTGGCATGCTTTAGAATTGCTAGGTTGGCAGGAGCAGGGACCAAGCAAAATGGGAGCTCACCCCATTGTGGGGATTCGAACCACCGACCTTCTGATTGGCAAGTCCTAGGCTCTGTGGTTTAACCCACAGTGCCACCTGTAAAATGGCAAACTTATGTCTCATCCAAACCATTTCAGGTTACAGATGAGTCTCACATATGACTGAATACTATGCCATGCACAAGAAAAGTACCGGTAGTATGTGTCAAGGGAAAAGACAAACTTCAACCCTTATCCTTAACATTTAATTTTCTGCATACAAGGGTTCCTCATTATGTGGAACACCTTAACTGAAAAATACAGATTAAGATAGCATGAGGTGTTTCTAGTTGTTGTTACAGATATTCAAGGAAGAACATAGTTGTTTGAGCTTCTTTGAAAAGCCAGTATCCCTTGCCATCATTTCCACCTTACAGGATTGTTGTGAAGATAAAGATTTTAAAGCATATATTGTATGCACTATGTCAGTAGTAGTATTAGTGCATCTTCTGAACAAAACCCAGTATTTTGCCACGAATCTATAGGTAACAAAACAAACACAAATATATAGGTAATAAAACAAACTAAAATTTAATCATCCTCTCAATAAATTTCTCACAACATAAGAATAGTTACCCACAGAGTGTTCTTATTCAACTGCCTAAATAAATCTTACTTATTTCAATGCTGCTATACAGTGGTACCTCTGGTTACATACGCTTCAGGTTACAGACTCTGCTAACCCAGAAATATTACCTCGGGTTAAGAACTTTGCTTCAGGATGAGAACAGAAATTGTGCTCTGGTGGCGCGGCAGCAGCAGGAGGCCCCATTAGCTAAAGTGGTGCTTCAGGTTAAGAACAGTTTCAGGTGAAGTACAGACCTCCGGAACGAATTAAGTACTTAACCTGAGGTACCACTGTATTCCAAATACACATGATTAGGATTGTAACCCAAAGCATGTGTCCAGTGTAATTTTGGGGGGAATAGATGATGGGTGTGCACAACTCTGCCTTGATGTGGAAAACCAACGTCATATTAGTTCTGTTTCATGCATATCATTTGAAAGTGTAAAAATGTCTCTGACCCATCAGCATTGGAAAAGTTTGCTAAATGCATATGTTTGGAGTGAAAAGCTCATGTGGAGGTATGCATATTAAAGCATGGCAGGAAAAAAGGTGGAGATTCTGGTTTACAGATCATGCCTTAAAGGTAATGGAAGGACCAAAACCTGCTTTAGCATTGCAAAATATCCTTCTGGTGTAGGAGGCTTATAGAACAAAGTGCCATCCCTTCTTTTGCAGGCTGCCTCCATAAGAGAGCATCAGCTGCCGCTACACATGGCATGATTTTAGCATGCTGATTTAATATTTACAGAGTGCCAATAAAATTTTTATGACGACAGCTGGTGGTTCCTGTGGTAATTTATAAACAACAACATAACACAGACATCAGGGAACTCCCGAGGAAGGTTCTGCATGGCTGTACAATATTTAGGAATATCAGACACAAGGTTGTTTCTCCAAACACGGAAAGGGTTTTTGTTTTTGTTTTTTTCTCCTTTGCTTTGCAGGTTTTTAAGGATCATTGCAGAATGCATTGCTGAAAGACTTTCTGCAGCTGAACTGCACAGTTCAAAATTAACTTTGTAGCACTCAAAAGTCATAATACCTTCATGCTTTCTCTCTCGAGGGCTGAAACAGCAGATGTGTTTTAAGAAACAACCTGTCTGTTGACTTACAGAATACAGAGTCTGTATTCTTCCTATACTGTACCAGATTTTCACAGGCCTGTTTGTGGACCTGATAAGCCTGCAATTTCATTGTGGTTGGACATTGCCGGATTTACGTATAAACTAAACAAGCTATAGCTTAGGGCCCCACTCTCTTGGGCCCCCCCAAAAAAGTAAAGGAAAGAAACTGGGTGTACATTTCCAAAATATAAGATAAAAAACAAATAAAATAAAACTTAGATTCAGCAACAGTGCTTTGTGTTGTGTAATTTAAGCAATGTGCCCCGCCTGCTATCTTGCTCCCTAAAATATCACATATAAAGGGCCGCATTACCTTCAGTAGCTTAGAGCCTCATCAAACCTAAATCCAGCCCTGTGGTTGGAAGACCTATTAAACCTTCCAGACAAGTTAATTCCCTTCCAGGAGAAGCAGAATTTCTCAGCGCTCCAACTGGTAAACCCAGTTGGGACTGAGTCTTGCTCCAGCAAGGGTCAATGTCACAAGTCCTTTTCCTTCTCAAGCCCTTTTTAAAATCAGCAGAATAAACGTTTTATTCTGTTGTATTTCAGCTCCACCCCCCCCCCTTTGGAGGCCCCATTTATGATGCTGGGGTGCATGGCACCTACAATTAACACCACATCACCCCCCACTGCCATCCCCCAAGCAGCATGGTTATTAGAGAGGACAAAGTTGTCACTTCATGTAACTAGTGCCAAGGAAGTGTGTGGAAAACAAGATTAAATCCTCTCATTCACAAAGAGAGGCTCATAGTCTGTCTAACCTTTCTGGTTCCTACTTTGTACTGAAGACCACCAGGCTCAACAAGATTGCAAACAGCCTGGGCATGAAGCATCTCATCATCATCATCATCATCATCATTGCTTTGAACGGCGAAGACTGCCATATCCTTTAAAAGCACTATTCCACTATTTTTAAAAGCCAGCTTCATATTTCCCATTTTGTGAGACAAACTTTTTTTCTCCACAGCCATTGAAATACATAATTCATTCTGAAGTTGTAGCTTTTCCAGAAAGAAAGAAAAGTGAAATTTTCCAGTGTCCTAAATCAATAGAGATCTGATGAAGTGTGCTTCTTTCACTTGAATTTGGTGAAGAAATGTTTTTCTTAGATGCTAATTTTATATGAAGTGTAAATATCTGAAAAGTTATTCCATTAGGCAGAAGTCATTGGACTGAAAGTGTACAGTACTTAGTGTGATTTTGATGCCATGTTCAAACCAGTTCAAAGCTTGAAGCAAACTGTCAACGGACA